GTTCATCTCTGAATATTTTTTTCCTCTCTTCTAGGTTGTTTTGCCCCACCAGCCTCTTCCTTCCTATTCACCAATGGGTAATGTTCCCCTGACTTTCTAAGTGTTTGTCAGCCCTGCTGCAGGGAAGGCTATGCTGAACTGGGTTTTAATCCTCTCCTGTTTTTTTTTAGGCCAGCCTTGCACTGATATGGATGTTGCTGCCTCTGCATTGCCAGTCACAGATGAAGGACCACTCTGTTCTGGCTGGATCCCCCAGCCCTCTCCCTCATCCTTACAGCCTCTAACTCAGTGGACCACTTACCCCGATTATGTGCCCCACGAAGCAGTTGGCTGCCCGTACACAGCAGATATGTATGTTCAGCCTATGTGTCCCAGTTACACGCTGGTTGGACCTTCATCTGTTCTGACTTATGCTTCTCAACCATTGATCACCAATTTTGCAGTAAGTCTAAAATACCTAGGTACAAATGACAGCAATTCCCCACCTTCTAGTGAGAGCCATGGGGACTGCCGCATGTAACTAGTTAGCTTATTTAATCACTATAATGTTGTGTGTCTTTGCATCGATGCTACGTAGCTGTTCTAGCAGTGGCTCTGTCTGCACTGTGGACATGAGTGTGGTTTGAGCAGGAGTTTTTCCACAACTTTTTGTTGTGGTTGCAATGAAATAGGGCATACTTCACTGCCATTTCCCCAGCCCTTTGCACTCCTCCAGACTTTCCATGTTACTAACACATACACTGTTCTTTGCTGTTGTCCTGGGAATGAGTCATCTCTCATCAAGTCAGCAGCAGGACTACCATTGCCCTGAGTTTTTTCAGGTCTGTTAACAGTTATTTACGGTAGGAGAGTACTGTTTGCAGCTCAAGGGTAATAATAGGGAATATTACATTTACTCTTGTCATCACTTCCAACTTGAGCTGTTCTTCTGCTTGGATTTGGAATAGCTGAGGAAGCAGAATTAAAGTAGTTCACTGAGTGGATGCACATTATAGTCAATAAGTCGTTGAACAAGGATTAGGGCACAGTCCTAAGCAGTATCCAGGGTATCAAGCAGTATCGTTATTTAATTCCAAACAAGGCCAAAACAGCACATCAACAGAGCAGAATATTTGGTTTCAGGCTGGACAAAATCTGACCCAAGATGATTTGCCCTTCCTTAGAGGATAAGGACAGAAAATTCTGTTTCAGTAGAACTCAAGCGGCTTATTTTCCTTTCAGTGTTCCAGTTCAGTGATTGCAGCTGACACCAAATCAGCCAAGGTACATGCCTGTGTCCTGTGCCTTCGCTATCATTTCAAATATGGCTCTGCCTTGGCTGACAGGGGCTGGTCAGGTTAGACTACTGCAGAGGCCAGAATAAGCCACCTTCAGCCTTGTGGCAGCCAAGTTGCGGCCATGCGTTCAAGCTGGGAGAGAGACTGTCAAAGTATGCAGTTTTCAGCACTGGGTGTAACTGTCTCATGGGCTTACAGTGAGGGTGGGAATGGGAACAGAAAGCTAGAGGGAACTTGACATGACTGTGAGCTACTGGCAGCAAGCACCTGGGACACCCACAAGCCACTGCTCTCATGGGAGCCAGCGTGGGAAAACTCACACTCAATGTAACACTTCACCCAGAGAGACAGGAAAAGGGATGTTAAAAGCGAGACCAAGCATCCTTAGTTTCTGGGTTTGGGTCCTTCCTCTGCTCCTCATTGCCAATGGGTTTATTTTGTTTTATTTCTCTTCCATTTTAACAGCCCCGAAGTACCACCCCCGCTGTAGTGCCTCAGCTTGAGGTGACGGATCAGCAGCCGCCTCTCACATACTTCCCATGGGCTCAGCCCCTCTCTGCACTGCCAGCCTCCACTTTGCAGTACCAGACAGCTTCTTCCACACTTTCTGGGCCACAGTTTGTGCCCTTGCCCATCTCCATTCCTGAACCAGCCCCGCAGGAGCTGGAGGATGCCAGACGAGTCATCAGCACACTGCCCATTGAGAAGCTACTTCTAGAAGATGAAGACAATGATACGTATGTTTTAAACCATGCTCTCTCTGTTGAAGGGCTTTAATTTGTGCATCTGGGGCCTGATCCTCACCTACTCAATACTCCATCTGGCACCACGGTGAATTTTGAGTACAGAGGAAAAGCAGGCTTGGGGGTGGGAAGTTTACTTGTGATTTTGGAATCCACCTTTAGCACACCATGACTTGTGTGTTGTGTGAAACTTGCTTTGTCCTGAGGCTTAGCACAAGACTTCTCTGCTGTTACAGTTCCTGCTACCTCTCCCAGGAAGGCTTTTGGTACTGTATAATTCTTGTGCCCAGCATCAGCACAAGGTCACTTTCATCCTCACACATAAGGCATGGTCTCAAACTGAAGTAGAATAGTGTAGCCATGGCCAACTGTAGCATTTGTTGAACGTACACTTACCTCTGAGTACTGACAAGACCTAGTTCAGTAGGACTGCTTTTCAGAGCTCAGTGTAAATGCCTTGTGTGTGTGTGCCTCCCAGTCTGTGGAGGAACCTCTACCTGATCTGGGCCGCTGGAAAACATTTTTGGGGTCTAAGTTGACATTTTTCTTTCCTAAATTGAACTGTTCCTTTGGAAAATAGAAAAATATAAAATGCAGTTTTGTTCTACTGGTGCTGATAGGTGCATTAGTCTAAAGACAGAAAGTCAATACAGCTGAAATAAACGTCAGTGCAGTCAGACATCCCTATTTACAGAGCAACATGAAGTAGCCTAGATGAAACACTTGAGTTCACACAAAGGTATAACTCGTTCTGTAGCATTTGAGTGTGAAGTCAGTGATGTCATGCTGAGCCAGAGAACCTTAGTAACTTCTCTTGTGCCTTACTGCTATGGAACATTTCTCTGTGCTGTAACATCGCAGGCCCACAGGTACACACATTTTCTTTAGAGCTTTCTGATTTTCTTTCCTGCAAGATGAGTAGCTTTACTTTGTCCTCTATTGCAACTGTAAATATTATTGCTGATGTTCAGGAGTGCCATGCCATAGGCAAATATATTTGCAGGAGATATCCTTTTCTAGCTCTCTTTATTGTTATCATAATAAACAGGGGTCTCTTTGGTGAACACAATTTCTCTGGGTTTTTCTGCTTTCTAAAGCCCAGGATCCTCAGGTGATTTTATTATTTGCAAGACTAACTGCAAAATAACTTATTGCACTCTTTATTACCTGGTGTCCAGCACTCCTGTTGCCACCCAGGCAGTATGTCAAGTGACCTTACACTTTATGCCTGAGTGAGGTTTGCAAGCTCAGGATGAAAGTCTTGAGGACTTTGAAAGCGTGTTCTGTTATTTAATATTGACAAATTTGGAAGATATAATCAATAGATCATGTAAGTGATCATAAAGCTGTTTGAAAATAGCAGTAGTTCAGGTGCATGGAAATTAGTGGCTTACATTTGCAGAAAAACCCAGCAAAGAAATTAATTAGAAGGAGCTTAGTTCACCACTGCTTACTCCAGTTTTATAAGTGCAAACACATTTAGTAGGTAAAACTGGGGTAATGCAGTTGTGAATAAAGCCTGTGGTTGCTAACATTGCTTTTAAATTTCTTTCACTCCAATGTATGTAAATTCTGTGTGTGAATATAAAACAATGATGAACTGTTTCAGCATTTCTTTCTGGGTTGTTCTGGTTAGAGAGACAAAATCTTTTTCAATAAAGATCTACAGTAACTTTCATATGCCTAGAGTGTTTTATTTCCTGTCCAAAAGGGTAACCCAGACCTGGCTTAGCAATCAATTAGCTCAATAGCAGATGTAGAGGCTAGAACCACTGATTAGCTGTTAGACTTTCTGTTAATTTTGCACATTAAGGCAGATGAAGTAGGAGATCCATGATCCAAACATGGCCTGGAGGCACTCTTTACTCAAGCATTCTTTACCCACAGAAGCATTCCTTCAGTTCAGATGTTATTTCAAGCACTATTATCCTCTATTATCTGGGGATGTTTGGGTGTGCAGCCACAGCTAATGGTCAGCTTGACTGAAAATCAGACTAGCCATAAAGTTGCATTTCTGCTTCCTGAAATTGCAAGGTGTGACTCTGGAGTCCAAAACAGCCTGAGGAAAGGAACAACTGCCCTACCACTTTCTGACTGAAGTGTACCAAATGTTGCTGGAGTGAAACAAACCCAGGGACTGGCACAACTGCCTGTAGGATGGGAATTGCCTGTTCACACAATTAGGACCTGGGGGAATGGAAGTGTCAAGTGGCTCTGTGTAATTCTCTCCAGCTTCAGCCATAGAGCCAGGCAATCAAAGTGAAGCAATGAAGTGTGTTTCCCATCACTAAGGGCCATGTCAGCAGCAACGCCATTAACTGCCATGGGTAGTGACAACTCCTTGTCTTATGCACATGATAAGGACTCCCTCTTTCCAGTAGTTTTGATAAAGAAGTGGAGCTTAACAAGCTGTTTACAAATACACCATTTAGAAGAGGCTATTTGCTACCCTAGATAGTAAATTATCACCAATGCATACAAGGCTGTATCACCCCAATAAGCAATACATACATACGTACAATATGGTACGCTGGGCCCCAACACTAGGCTTTGTGGAGGACGTGGATACCTCCCAACACAACAGCAAATCTCACCTGAAAGAAAGTGCTGAAGTGGAAAGGAGACAGCATGAGAAAGCTCAGGAGTGCTGAGGGCTCTTGAGCACTGCAGTTATTTTGAGGTAGGAAGCCTTTTGCATGGGAATGGGCGCTGTCAAGATCATGACCTTTGGGGCTTATAGTATGGTTTTGTGGAACACTGGGTATAAAACCCCCAAAGTAGCTATGCTGCCCTGAAAAACTGTTTGCTCCCAGGGTGGTTCACGACCAAGCAGTGATCGGTGTCTTTATTTACTGTCTTAGAATTCTACATATTTATGCAGCTAAAGGTATGAGGGCGTATACATTGGCAGCTGCAGAGCGCATGAAATTGCTGCGAAGACTTGATGTCAAGGAACACAGAGGAAAGGTAATATGGAACACTTTCTCCTGCAAACAGCTGTGTTTGGGATGGGCATGGGATTTGCATGACTGAGAGTAACTGATGCTCTGAAAAATCTAGCTGTCTCTGTGTTACTGCAAAGGAAGCCATGGGCACTGATAATACTTGCTTCAGTGCTTTTAAATGGAGTTTCAAAAATGCTAAACTTGGGTTGTCATCCATATTATGGCCAAAGAACACTCTAGAGACCTGGAAAATACCCCTCATCTCGTGACAGCATGGGTCCTAATATGTGGGATTCAAATTTTGTCTTTGGTTCATGCACCACAGTTGTTGCATTTCTAGATGCCATTTAGCCCAGACTGCCTTTCCCTTTTCCTTGTTCTGTGACAGCATCTCTTCTAGACTCACATTTTATCTGCTGTGCTACTTTTTCCAGACTCCTCTGCTGGTGGCTGTCACTGCCAGGCAGCCAGCTATTGTCTATGATTTAATCCAGGCAGGAGCGGATGTCAATGCTGTAGACAACAAAGGGCAGTCAGCTTTACATCTTGCTGCAACATATGGCTATGCCCAAGTTCTTCAGGTAGGAAAAGCTTTTATGCTTTAATTGCTAGCAATATGAACCTACAGTAAAGTCTCAATATTGATGTCTTCCAATAATTTCCTCAGAAAGCAAGATGTCAATAAGCAATGAAGGCTGACCAAAGTCTCCTTTTCCATTGTGTTAGGAATCGACTTCCCAGGTTATTCCTGTTTCAAGACAGCAGCTAAATCAGCCTCCTGTTACAGAGGAAATGGCTTTAGTGTATCTGGGGGGGCATATAAATTCTGCAGATCATAGGTCTGCATCTGCTCATGGGTCCTCTGAGGATGTGTGAGTGGAAGTGCCAGGGGGTACCTGGCAAGTTGGCAGTCCATATCAAGTATTCATTAGCTCTGCCTCGTGCACACCTTGGGTTAAGTCATGAGCAGGCAGTATAACATTGAGACTTCTTTGGAAAACAGTGTTTTATACAGTGGAGGAAGTGCTTTACATCCAGATGATTCCAACAAAAGCTCCCAGAGTGCCTGTGGTGGTTTGCTTTGTTTGTGGCTTTTTTCCTTACATGAAAAAAGAAAATGCACACAGGCTTGCTCCTCGGTGTGGTCAAAGCCATGGAATGCTTTATGGTTTGTTTGTTTATTTAATTGGGGTTTTTTCTTAGTGGATTAAACACCTAATCTCTAATCATCAGGCAGCTCAGAACTACTTGTCAATATTTGATCTGTATATACTATATTATTGTTATGAAAAGGGAGCACAAGCCCTAACCGTTCTGGGTAATCTTTCTGTAGAAGGATTCTGTCCTGTGCCTTGTCTGACTCCGCAAGGTTCTGGGTGAGTCACTGCACTGCAAAACTTCTCAGCCAAGATGCTATAATGTGAACAACTTTATTTAATCAAGACTAAAACATGCATTATCTGTAATAATATATACAAGGAGCTACTTGGCTGTCTCACATCTAAGCTATTATTTTCTTAAGTTAAAGAGTTAAAAATTTTACTCTTTTCCAAATCCAGGCAATGCTCATCTTTAGACCACTATTTCGTCACATTTATAGGGTTTGCATCATCATTGCTGCAGCCATTGCAGCAAGCTGTGGTTTTAACCTGTCACGCTTCTGCTCACCTGCTGCACATTAAAAAGAAAAAGTAAATGAATTCAGTCTGGTAATTTTCAAAATCAGTGAACTCCCCTATCTAAAAGATCGGCTGTACATGTCAAGGAGAGTTTTTCATTTATCCATGTCAAGAATGGCTCAGAATAAATATGAATTGGTGTTATTGGTACCTTTGCTTAATATAGGGTGAAAGCAAGGAGGCTAGCACTTTTGAGCTGGGGCAATGACTTGATTTTATTGTTCTGAACTGAGAATTTAATGGGATGCTATGCTTAGGTGGGGTTTAGGAAACTAGGGACCATGAGCATCTTGTGTAACCCTGAATGTTCCTGTTAGGAAATACGTTTAAAGCACTGACATCTAGTGTCAAATAAGGACTTAGTTTGTTTATAAATGATAGTTATCTGACTTTTTTTGTTTTTAGATTTTGTTTGTTTTGACTGATTTGGGCTTGGACAATATTCTGCTGAACTAAAATGTTCCAATTCTCTCTTGCTTCTAGGTTATACTGTCAATAGGTTTCCCTCTTGATCTAGAAATGAAGGATTTTGAAGGTAAAAACCTTTGCACAAATATTTTATGATAGTATTAAATAAAAATAAACACCAGCTGTTTTGTTGTCTGGTGCTCAGGTGTAGTTGTTGTGGTGTGCTAGGAGGCCAGAGTGGCCTCAGAAACTGACTGGGTAAGGTTTTGCTGTGTGCTCAAGTACCACAGAAATCAATCGTGCTGATAATTCAGCAGTGATTCAATGCACAGTTGGAACTGAGCACACGATGAAGAGCCCCAGAAAGTGTCTATACAGCCAACAAGTGCCTTTTGAACCAGAGAAGGGCTTGTACTTTTGCAACAGAGGTGCAGAGATGCATACGTTTCCCAACCAGGTTCTCTTCCTCTCTGTACATCAATAGTGTCATTGGGACTGTTCTTATCATCTCCCATACTTGATTTTCCAGGGCATACTCCACTCCACTGTGCTGTTCTGGCCCACAACTCCCTGCTCCGAGAGCAGGGTTGCCGGATGTTGCCTGAGGAACAGCAGAAAAAGCTTCAGCACCAGAGTGAAGAGCTGGAGTCCTGTATTCAGCTCCTAGTGCAAACAGGAGCCTCCATCTACAGCAGGGTAAGGAATCAGCTCAATTATATGCTGTTTCTTTGTGTGGGAACTCCCACTTGTCCTGCCTGACGCTTGTGCTGTGCTCAAACTGTAGAACTGGAGAAAGAATGAACTGCTGACTGCACGACCAAGCCTGTTCCACTTAAAAGTGACTGGTTGCAGAGTTAGTTGCTGCCTTTTGGAGTTACTTTATTGCAGCTTGAAGCAGAAACTGGACAGCTTGAGGGCCACCAAAGGGAAGAAGGTGCTCCATGTGAGCTGCAGAGCTTGCCTGGGCTTTTCTCTGATTTATGTAACATCTTCAGGTTGCTCTGCAGAACTTGTCGTTGTTGTTTTCTGTTTTTATATAGGATGTCAAAAGCAACAAGACAGTTCTTCATTATACAGTGCAGGATGGGAACCTCTCGCTGCTCAGATACTTCTTGGAGTTGAATGCTTTCAAGTCCAAGGACTTTGTCAACAACAAGGTGAGTCAGGCCGTGTGTGGACAGGATTTGTGTGCACATCCACGGGCAGAGATGCTGAGAACAGTGCGAGAGCTGTGCTGCGATGCAAGGCTGATGCAGACAGAGGCATTAGGAGATCTTCTGTTCTGTTCTCTTTCCACAGATGTTTTTTTCTGGAGGGAAAGAGCAACAGTTTGTGAATCTGAGCTTTTTCTAAATTTCTTTTTTTAACCTGAAATTGCATTTTCCAGTAAAGAAATGTTTCACCTGGAAAACAGCACCTTGCTTGAACTGAGAGTTGTGTGCAGGTCCCTCTCCCAGGTGGCAGAAGCTTACAGTGCAAAAGCGAGATAACCGGGGAAAAGGAAAAATGTGGGAAGTGGTTGCTTGAGGAGGAACATGAACTTTATCACATTAGGCTGAAGACTGAGAAAACAGATCTGCAATGATGCGACGGTTTGTTGTTGGCAGCAATGTAATACTGAATGACAGCAGTTTAGGGCAGCCATGTAACAAGTAATCTCTCCTGTCAAGCATGCCATTCACAGGAAGGACAAAGCTCCTATTTCAGTTAAGGGACATGGTGGCTCTTTCTGCCTTAAATGTTATTTGTTAGTCTTCTGGCTCTGTTTGTGCCTGGATGCAAACTGGTTATTATGATGGCTGCCTGCAAGTTTGAGCCTGGAGAACCAAAACATTCACAGGGCCCGCCAAGCCCTAGCAGCTGCCAGGAGCAGTAACAAAAGACAGACACATGCTATGGGCAGTGAAACAGTGGCTGACATTGCCATGCAGGTGAAGCACGGGGAAACCAGCTCTTGCAAACAAGAGAGCATCCTTGCCAAGCATGCAGAAGCCTAAGCGCTGTGGCAAGTAGGTCTAACTGTAGGGGCCTGAGAGCCTGTTTTAGGCACTCTGTCCAGTGCTGCTTATTGAGCTGAAGTTTTACTAACATTGGTTCCTCAGTGCAGGATTTCTGGAGGCACAGCCATTCCCAGGTTGTATAAAGCAAGCTAAAAACCTTCCCAGTGATGCTGTTGTCACCCATCCCTTTGCTGCCCCATACTTCACCTCTGAGCAGATACCGAGCAGTGACACTATCTTGCAGCTGTATCAGCTTCACCCATCCTCCTAAGCAAAAATGCTGACATTCCTGTGCCTTAACTGAGACATAGCTCTGTACAATCAGCCTGAGCTTCGCCTCTTGACTAGCTGTCCCCTCTCAGCAGGAATAAGTGCATGATTCTGGGTGCCTCTGAGAAGGAAAGGACAGAGGGGAGGACAGGGCTAAGGATCCCTGTTTTGAGAGGGTCAGAGCGTTAGCTTTTCATTTCAACAGCTTCAGTCTCTTAGCCTTGCTTGTACTCCATAGAGCACCCACATGCTTGTATCCATTCAGAAAGGGATTTAATATTTTCTGTCAACTCAGTTGCTCACTTGGGAAGCAGGTACTGGGCAGCTTCACAATTTTTTCCCCTACAGATCTCTGCTGGATTGGAGGAAACATGTTTTCTCTGTGTTTGTGGGTAATAACACTGGGTTTCTATTTTTCTGTACAGTGAAGGCCCCTACGCTGCCTTTTCACTACATTCTTTCTGTATCTTTTAAGAGCCATTAGGCAGGTGCTAGCTTGTCCATGGGAGTCTGCTGTTGTCTTCTGATCACAATCCTGTGAGAGCTTCCTACTGTGATAAGATCACTTAAAGTCTTCAGTCTTGTTGCTGAGCTGTCTGGGGTAGTGAGAAATATGATGGCGAGGTTGTCCGATGCTCATCCTGGCTTTTTAGCTCTTCCAGATACGAAGATGACAAGAAAACAGGGATGCTGGAAGTCATGTTCTAGTTTCCCTGCTTTCACCCACTGCTTGATGTGGTGTCTCATTCCAAATCCATTTCCTTGTGGATTTCACAGCAAGAAAAGCATTGAGGCCTTTGAGATATTTTTACCATGAAAGATTCCTAGAGCCCATAACCTGATGCTCTGGACCATTGTCTCACATAAGCCCTATAAAAGTCAAGACATTGCCAGACTGCCTTGTTTTCTTAGCCCCATGCCTGGATTTGGAAGCTATCAAGTACTCCTGCCATAAAGATACAGCAAACAAATGCAGATATTTCCATTTTAACAAGAAGACCTATAAAGAGCTTGTAACCATCCCTTAACTCTATGGGATGGTAAAATTGACAAGGATCTGCTTGTTCAGGGCTTGTAAAAAAAAATGCCTTGCTTGAGAATGACTGCTAAGATTTTGCTATCTTGTTTTGTGCATCAGTGTTCCTTATGTCTCAGTGGTAAGTAGGGCCTGAAAATCATATGTATTCCTTCAACAACTGGAATAGCAATACACATTGCAATTGGTGCCCAACCGTTCCATGTTCATGACAAGTATATGATTGTTTCTGAGAGGAAAAAAGTATACGGCTGCCTAAATGAGACTTCTTGCAGACTAAAAATACCTTGCCTTATGCATTTGCTTAGGTGTTTCTCATTTAAAACCGTTACCAGTCATACCTGACTAGGCAGGGGCACAGATTTCTGCACGGTCTGGTGGTACCGGAGTTTCTCCGCAGCAAATCGCTGCATCCTCCGTCCTGCGCCCTCTCGTGGCTCCACGACAAGTTTTGTCCTTTGTTTCTGTGCAAATCCTGTTCCTGGAAACTCAGGTTTTTTGTCTGGAGTGCTGGAAGGAACAGGTTTGGAGCTCAGCATGATTTATCTTGCCTGCTGCAGAGCCAAGCCACCTACAGCCCTGTTTGGTCCATGTCCAAAGTCACTGAGGGACATGGGCTGCTGGGCTACCAGGATGGCCTGGTACCTTTCAAAGCAGCACGTTTTAATGCCGTTGAGTTTGGTGGCCTGGGAGGACTTGCACAGTCAAAGATGCCTTGTATCCAAGGGATCAGTCTGAGCCCTGTGTATAACCTACACACTATTGGGACTGGCTTTCACTTGTGTCAAGGTCTCTTTGCAACTTTCTGGCACTTGCAAACGATTGTAAAAAGGAGTAGTGGAGCTGTGTGAAGCACAAATGGGTCTGCTGTTGTAAATCCTTGCATAGCACATGTGTGATGGGTAACACTGCATAATGTGGTTTGTGTCACTTTGACTGACTGAAATGCTTCCAGTGAAATAGTTCCTATTGTTTCTCCTGGATAAATATACATGATACAGGTCTATCTGTTAGCTGTAGCCAAAGCATCAAAGGCCCCCAATTTGTAGTGATCTATGAGAGACAAAAATCTAAATCCACAAATCACCTGCACAAGCAGCTGTACATGGGAGAGACAGAGCAGGGACACTCTCTCATCTCCCAGTAAGTAATGTGGGGCTTCTTCACCTCTCATTTCACAAGTATTCATTTCTGGGACAATTCTGAGTAGGTGGCACAGCTTTTTTTTCTCCCCTTGTTTTTCTTTCTCTTCTCTTACATTAGGCCCATGGCAACACAGCTCTGCATATGGCAGCCGCATTGCCTCATGACAAGAACCAGAAAGAAATTGTCCAGTTGCTCCTTGACCATGGGGCAGACCCAAGCATCCGAAATTTAGACAACGATCAGCCAATCCACATGGCTCCTTCTGGAAAAGCTGGAGATCAGGTACATAATCCACATTGCTGCTGCTTCTTCCAAACACATCTGTGCACTCCACAGCTGTTTGTCCTTACTAGGGGAACAGCAAGGACAAGTCATGACATGGGGCTGATGTTGCATGGTGTAGGCCTGGGGGTTCCCCACTGCAGTAACTCTGCAATCGAGGAGCACAAAGCAGGCATTAGCTGGCAGTCCAAATACATCCCAGGAGGTGTCAATGGGTAGTTCTTCCACAGTGGTAGCAAAGCTCAAGGTATGATTGGATTTCATACAGGTATGAAAAGGCTCCTGGAGCTCATTGCAGTCCCTGATGTGCTTATATATGTATTTAGTCACACATATAAATTCACGTTAAGTATGTATATGTATGCACTGGGGTGTCTGCATGCAGTTTCAGAGGGTACGTTGTGAACTTCTACATTTTTTTGGCAGGTCAGGCATTTGCTGAAGAAAGGGAAAGTTGCATCTGCATTCATTTCCTGTCACCAAAGTGCCACATCCTAGGTTGCCTGCAGCTTCCGGAATGGCTTCCACCTCAGCTTGCTGATTGCACTCTTAGGAAAACTAAAACATCCCTGTTCCTAGCATCTTTAAATCAGGGTGGGATGACAGTGTTTCTCAACCTATGGACCATGAATAACATATCAGAAGATGAGCTTTCAAATGTCTGAAAACTTTATTTTGTTAACAGAGTACTAATAAACCTCAAGCATTGCTTGCAAGCAAAGAGGCAAGCAAAGCAAATGGCTGTTACATAAATAACCAACCTGTACTTATTTGGTGGCAACTGAAACCTGTAGTGGCGAAAGAACACAAGCCAAGTTTGGTTATAAAAGGTTGAGAAATACTGCTCTCGGACACGGTCAGCCTGTGCCTCTTGTTAGGTTCTGTAACAGAGGTACTGGTTGAAATGTGATGTGCAATTACCTTCACTGTGCCTGCTAGCCTGGGAATGCTGGAACCTGAGGGGGAGGAAAAGACTGGATGGAAGAGGTCATGTCAGCTTGAAGAGTCATCCATGGCTGTATTTTACTTGAGTGAATGGACATTTGGACTCAAGAGCTCCAAGAGAGGGTTTCTGCAAGCTGCTACTACCCCGTTTCTTAGCACTTTGTGGAAGAAAGCTGAAGCAGCTGTCCATTGCCACCCCACTTAAGAAAAGAGATGCTTGTAAGTGCAACTACATGGGGAAGGTTCTCAGCAGTACAGTTTTGTGTGGCTCCTGAGTGCTTCCCAGTGAAGGGATTCTTCTTTGAGTCATCTGATCCAATCCAAGTTTCCAGCTCTGATGGCAAATAGCAGCTCTGGAAGCACTTCAGGGAGAGGAGCTGAAACCTCACCTGAGCTAATGCCTGTATAGGAGACCAAGGCTTTGTTTGGGTCTTCAACAACTTTTAGGCATGGACAGGGTAGAAAATCTTTGAGCTGTGTGTGCATGAGCACAGCAGGGTCAGAGTGCAATGTGGTAAGTGCTTTTCTATTCCCATTATTATCTAAGGGGGCGTTTTAATAGATTCTTCTTATCCTTTCTGTGAAATGATTTGTGAATTGCTGTGCAATCAACTGGCAACAATGTCTTCTGGGTCAATAGGATTGAAGGTAGATGCCTGATGGAAGAGAAAGCCATGTTTTGACAACCGCTTCACAGAGGGTGTCTCATCTTCAGTACATGTTCTGAATTAGAGTTCACTGATTTCTCAGTGTTGCACAAGTTATTATTTCTAACAGGACTAAACAACAAGATGAGGGGCAGACGTCTGAAATCACTGCTGTAACTTCCTTTATCGCCCACTGACTAACTCAAATGAGGGTTTTCTAAAGCACTTGTCACACTCCCAGACCTGGACTGTTTAAACAACTGTTTGGCAGAATTGAACAAAAGTTCTTAAGAAATGCAGAGATCTCAGCTTTCACAGGCCTCATCTCTGCTGTTTCGCTATTGCTTCTCACTACATCATATTTACAAACCTGCCAACATCCGCTGACAATAAAAAGCAGAGTTGTATTTGCATGTGTTTGCATAAATTTGCATGTATCTGGGCATAGGCCAGCAAAAGCATGTGCTTTATTACTTTGAAGGGATGTTACAGCAAGCCCTGAATTGAGTGATAGCTGCATCAGTGAGTTAGTGCTGTGTGTCAAGACAAAATGATCAATGAAATAGCCATTTCTTGAACTTGCTAGTAATAAGACTGTAAAATTGTGACTAGCATGTGGCATGTGATGCACTAGGGAAAATGTAAAAAGTTTTTTTGCCATTTGGAAATGTCTATGAGATGGCAGAAATCCTTTTGCAGAACGTGAAAAAAAATACATGACCTGTTTACTAGAGTGGCTTACCTCTTCATTTTTGTATCTGCCTGCTGTTGGATGTTCAATACAGGGCGACACCATCAGTGACTTGTAGTCTGTAAACATCACCATCTCCAGGGCTTGAGGGAAAATATCAGCCTGGGGGGGAATGGATGTGGCTTCATTCAAAGCATCGCCCTGGCAGCCTGTTACTCAGAGTTGACAGATGAGATTTGCAGATGGAAGAACCCATGACCGACCCAGGAAGGATTTGTTCTCTCTACAGGCACATCTGTGTTCAGCTTCCCAAAGCTCATGCATTAGAGGCCTGCTCTGAAGCCAACCACAATCAACAGTGAACAACGTTCATATTGTCTTTGGCCTGGATCCACGAGACAGTTGGAGGCTGCTGCTTCTCCATGCATATAAAGCACCTTTCCCTGTCAAGCCAAGCAGTTCGTGGCCTGTGTGTAAAGAAAATCCCTTTTAAGGCTCAAAGGTGGCCTGAATGTTAAGACTTCTGTGCTGGCTTAAATTTCATCTGTTTGAGCAGTATCTTAGTTCACAGTTACCCCTCAGTTTTTGATGGTTCTTTCAGGGGAGCTGTAGCTTTTATAGCTTTAGCAGTACTGGCAGCGTGTGACACCCCTTTATTTGCACAGTTTATCTCTTCCTATCTGTGGCTTTGGTTAAATTGCTAATAACAAAGGCTTGTTATCACCAAACAAATGTTCTTAAGTGGCACCATAGAAAAGTCACCAGTCAGTTGGCAAGCAAATCTTTTTGATCAAATACCCTGTGCAATTGGAAAAGAAGCTGAAAATAAGAACCTTTCATGTTCTCTATAACGGCGGGTTACTTCTGGAGTTATTCATGGCTTTTGTAAGAATGGGGTGATCCTCACTTTTGTGTAAACATGTGTTTATACAGGCTGGCAGAACTTCAGCTGGCAGGGACTCGTGAAATGCCAATGTTTCAGTAGTACTGTGCCAGCTCTGTTGGAGATGTGACCCAAACTACTTTCCTTTAACTCCCCCTCCCTTTTTGGGGGGACAAAGGAGGTGGGGAGAGAAAATGTTCCTCATAACCCGAAAATGCACACTCAACTTTGAACAGTCCTTCTCTGTTGTTTTTGAAGGCTTTATTTCCTTTCTTATGTCAACAAGACATCATTATGTCAATAGTCAGCAAGCTTTTACTTGCATTGCATGTGTCACCTGAAGCTATTGACACAGAGCTGGAGATCAGTGTCTAAAACATGTTTCCAGTCCCTGGCAAGGGGATTGCAAAACAACTGGAGGAAGAGCAGCAGAAAAATAGGAAGAGGTGACAAGGGATGGAGGATAGTGCTACTTACTTAATGGAAGCTGTTGTAAGTGTGGAAGCTCAGTGGTGAGACCAGACCAGCCCTCCAGCTTGCCCCACTGGGAGGAGTGGGTTTTTTTTGCCTGGGTCATGCGACATCTGAGCAGTGGGAATAAGAATGGGATGTAGGGCGGTTTGTAGTGCTCATGCTCACACTGCCATTCTGAAGCGGTCATGCCTAAACAACAGCCATCAATGATGAGCACAACTTCTCCACTGCACACCATTAAGTGCAGTCCTCTTTGAGATGCAGTGTGCTCACTGATAGCTGGACAGATGTTGATAAATGCACAGTCTGCTGATAGATAATGTATTAGATTTAAATATCTGCCTGATGTGGAGGCAAGAGATATGTTGTTAGACTGTAACACTTTACTAGAGTTTCTTGGTGGCACTGCTGTGTAGACTGGGATACTTAAGAACCTTGCTGTAAGATGTGTTAATATGAGCACTTGTCTTGTTGAATGCTTACAAACCATTTTCACCTGTACATTCACCAGTACAGCTAGTTAAATGATGTATTTGTCTTCCCTACTAACCTTTAGTTGTTTTTCTTTTAATTAGTGTTGGATTTAATACGGAGAGGTGCTTCTTTCTTTCCAGGCTGGGTACTCAGCTGAGAAATGGGTGGCTTGGCAGTCTGCCTCACCAAGTGCTATTGAAAGGAGGTGAGACATAGTCTTAGAAAGGTCTGGGTTTATGCAAGAAACAGGGAATCCTCAGGTATGATAACTTTCCCCATTATCTACTTAAAAAAATAAATCATTTAGCTCCTGTTCAGTTGATCACACTGAACGGTGAAGAAAACCTGATATCAACAGACCAAACTATACAAAGAGCTGCCAAACTACAGCAGCTTCTCACTGAAACCCAGCCTTTAGAGGGAAGCTGGTGTTGATCAGCAGCCAAAGATGTTTGGCACTGGATTCAACCCCTGTGCAGGCCTGAGGGGCCTTTCTGGCACATGACCCATAGGCTAAGCCCTGGGCTTGCATGGAAAACAGCAGATTTCCTTCTCTGCAAAATTGCTAGAGAATATCATCATGGCAGTCTGAGCAGAAACAGTGGCCACAAAACTGCAGATCCATGTCAAAGCAGGGTAATGTACAGCTTTCTCTGTAGATAGTGTGCTGGGTGCTGAGATACATATAGACTATCTGCTGCAGACCCTATCTGCTGGAAAGGGTAAGCTGCTTTCATGCTGCTGAGAATTACTCTCTGTATAGGTTGCTGAATGTCTCTGTTCCTTACCTTTAAGAGAAACAGGGACAGGATCCTGCATCATCAGCAGAAAAGCACATGAGGAATGAACAGGCTTCAGCATATGTACCAAATTATTTATTTGTATCAAAAAGGGCTTAATTACATGTGTTTGGTAAGGCAGCAAAAGAACCCCAAACCACCACCACCACAACAAAACACCCCGATACCCCTGACCATACGAGACAGGAGGATTAATGTAGTGCCAGTGTCATGTAGAAAATGTGTGAGTAGTGAAGAATAAACTGAACTGTGTTAGGCAGCACAGCTTTGCATAGTTCATGGGCAATTAATCTGATTTGGATACAGTGGATGTGTAAAACCACAGTCCCCATTAGCTATAGCAGATGTCACAGTTCCTATCCCTTCTGAAGAAGTCATCGGCCATGGCCATGGGTGGTAGGTAGTCCATGCAGTCCGTGCTGGAGCAGGGGAAGTACTGCGGGACCCTGTTGTCCCCATGCTGGGAGCCATAGGCAGTGCAGCAGCAGGCAGAGGTGGTGTATGCGGAGGGGGTATGGCAGGACCATTCCTCCGCAGGGTAGCTGTAAGTCTCGGAGTCCAGAGCAGAGGGTGGGCTGTGGGTCAGTGGCGTGAAAGGAGACAGCTGAGGAGGAGAGCAGCTATAGTTCAATGGGCTGGACAGATCAGCCGAACTGGGGGATCCAGCAGCCTAGAGTTTGAGAGAAAATGAAAGAAAAACCAAAACAAACAACAAAACACAGGCTGTTTCAGGGTGCCACCTGGGGACATGTGGACAGCTGTCAGGATTTCAATGCTATCACCTTTCTCGGGGGGGTCTGGCTAGCCGGGGAGATGGTTTGGCCCTTGGAAGCTTAAACGCAAGAGGCAGTTCCTGTGACATTAGTGTTAATAGGGAGCTTGTCTGTGAGTCAGAGAACCCCTAGCAGGAAGTGGGCTATCCTTTGCAGAAAATCTGCAGATCTGTAGAAAGGACATTCCTCCCTTTTCTGTTCCCCTGGGAGACAAAACTTACCAGGCCCTGGTTAAAGCAGTGTGAGACTGGCTGGAAGGCATCTGAGGTGTAGTGTGAGGACGTCTGGAAACCACTGAAGGCTGGGTCTGAGGGTGCATCTGTCTGAAGACAGGAATCTACCAGTTGTTCCAAATAGCTAGGGCTTTCTTCACAGGAGAGGCAATTCGAAAACTGCCATGATGGACAATAGTTGGGAACAGAAGAGATGGGTTCTGCATCAAAAGGTCCTAGGAGAGAAGGTAAACCAGACAGTAGCAGATTATGTCTTCACAAAGGGCAGGTGTTGCCCCAGGTCAGGTTTCAGTATTCTCATATGTTCAGTAGCCCTACAGATTTAGACAAAGAAAAAGGTCCTTCCAGTTCAGGGTGAATATTCTAGGGAAGCAGACACTAGAAGGAAGATGATCAAAAGCATGCAAATAACTTGGGGAAATCTAGTCCCTTTGGAAAGCTCCAAAAATCTGTAAATACGGCTGGAAACAATTCTGGCTCCAGCCGTTTCAGACAGGGATCCAGCTGGAAACTCCCTCAGACTCTTGATCCTCTAGCCTCCCTTCAAATGTCAGCTGTTTACAGACCTAGAAGTTTACCATGCAGTGATTTATGCTTCACAGCTTGGCAGATGGCTTGCGCTTTTGCCTCACCCAGTCTTCAGATGCAAGGTAGCTACATCTAGAGGAAGAAGAGCGTAACAGGAGAACAATTTGCTCTTTAATACTCCAAAAAGGCAGTCAGGAGACAAACCTCTGAGCAGACAAAATGGAGCAAGTCAATGATAACGTGGCATTGCACCCACATAGTGTTATGAGTGAGTTCCTAGAAAGCCATAGGGTCAGATTCTCAACGTACTGCAACGCTCTTGCTGGGGTATGAAAGCATATCTGACTCTTCAGAATGATCACCTTTTCATGCTGCGTTCAAATATGGTTAAAAGCAAAGTCTGTCCACATGGAGGGGCACAGGCCTGAAGGCAATGGAACTGCACATAGGTAGAGAGTCACTCAGAGTCCCAGTAGTTTGCAAGTTCAGCGTGGCAGTGTTTAGCTGGATGTGGGGAGGAGGAAGGAACGATACATAAACAGATGGAGACTTTCCAGCCTGAAAAAGCTGTGGTATGTCTCGCAGTTCTTTATTAGCATAAGCAAATTGATTCCTAAATATTGATGGATGTCCATACAATGTATATATCCACACCTGCCCAACCTTTTAGGTCTCTGCTTTGGCTGTAGAATAATTGAAGGATCTGTACGCTCAAGCTGCTGTACCCTCCACCCCTCTCCACTTTCCTTGGATATTCACATAGAGGAGGAAGAAACTCTTTGTGTTGCTGAAAACCTGACACTCCTCTTGCTCCCATGGATGCTGCCAGGAAAGTGAGAACAGCCAGCTGCTGGAGCTCAGCAAAGTGCTCCAGTGCAATCTGACCCTCTAGATCCATTCAGACCCACAGACTGGAGCCTGGAGACGGTGATGCCAGCAGTGTTATTCCCTAGGGGATGAGCATCCCTTATTGAAGGAGACCTCTCTCCTTGCTGTAGGAAAATAAACTGCACAAATGAGAGCATGTGATCGTGCTCCTGAATGGGGTAATATGTACCCTGCTGGCCTCACAGGATCCTCATCTGCATTTTGTGCGCTCCTTTCAGGCGCTGATTGGCTGCATTGCCTGTTATCTGGTGGTGCCTGCCTCAACCAAAGGCTGGAAAGATTCTGGGCTGTGGGAAAAATTGGGAAGGGGGTGGGAAGGGACATGTGGATGGGCTTTGTACCAACCTGGGTGAGGTGGAGACACAGACTCTGGAAACTGGATGCTGCTGCTGCCCCAGGAAACCTGACCAAAGAGAAGGGAAGAAAAGGAATTGCAGATACTGTAACATAGGAGAGCGCTCTTCTGTGTGCTGAGGTAAGTCGGATTTCTCTTCAACATATTTATGTAAACCTTATTTACCTGGTGGGTGTAATATGGAAAACTTCCCTAGCATTAACAGAACAAGATTAATGTGCATAACATGATTTTTTTCTTGAGCCTATAATGGCACTGGAGGAGCACAACACCAGCTTGGTGTAAAGCTCTATCAAGAGCACCTTGTTAGGGTGCTCTCCCTATTCCTGTTGATTCAGTAGAGATGTGGCTCCCTTTGAAACTAACACATTAATTTCTAGGACCACAATCCATAGTGGAGGGATCCCAAAGAATTTGTAGGGATAAATATGATTGAGAGTAGTTAACAAATTGTAGGGATAACTCTTGAAACATAACTAAAGACAACTGCAGGTATCCCTGTGGCTGGGCACCAGACTGGATTGCCGTGTTTGGGGTTGATGTCATTTGAGAACCAGCTCTGCCGTTGCTCCCCACTCTAACACAGCTACGTGCCTCTGTGAAACTAGACAGTCTCATTTTGTAAGGGATGCTGGAAGCTGGAGCAGACAGATCAATTGTTTTAGGAATCCAACCTGCCATAGTAAAGAAATCCCCAAACATGAAGCATCGAAACTCCTATCACTTTTGTGGTCAGGATTTTAGTCTGTAAATACAAATACTGGGTTGGGTTTTTTTCCCCCTCAGTTTTAATTCATACAATTTCCATTTAGTTTCCTTTATTAAAAATGAGTGGCTCATTTCTCCAGCAACAACTTCTTAGCTCATCCCCATGCATTTAATTCATTAAACAGCAGCTATTCTGGGCTGAAAGTACCCACAGGAGTACCCCTCCTCTCTTTGGCTGCAGATACGTAACAAGGCAGACATAGCTATAACACTGGCAGCAGAAGTTTCCAGGTTCAGCTTTTCTCAGTGCACAGAGGTAGCTTATCCTGCCAGCCCTAACCTATGGGGCCTCTCCAAGACAATGCATACCTTTTGGAAAGCACAAAGGCAACCTCCTGCGTTGCCACTTTTTCCTGTGTGGGCAAAACAAATGCTGTGTAAACTTGCTATGGGGAGCAAAAACCAGTTCCATGCAGCCTGTGACATCTGCTGTGATGGAGAGGCTAATTCTGTTAGGGCTGGAGGGGAGGAGTAGCCCAGCATCTCTAAAGCCAAGCAGTTCTGTGCACTGTTCACCCAGGCCTCCCTGCCTGTAGGTTGCAGGCTGATCAGCTTTCTATGCAGTCAGCTGCAATGAGGTGCAGGAGATGGAGATAAATCTGAAAGCTATCCAAAGCTGTAATGTCATGAACCAGGAAGAGGTAATGATTTACCAAGCTCTTTATGCAAATCCCTAAGAGTGGCTGGAGCTAGAGGACTCCTACAAAGACTGGAAAAGTGAGAGAGTGCATGTGTGTGTACACACACAGATCTCCATCCCCTCCTTTAGAAGGGATGGGGCTACGAGCTGCCCAGATGGTACTGAAAAATATTAGAGACCTGAATTTAGTTGAGTATACTTGAATACTATGCTAAGGAGCCCTAATGGAGCAGGATGGAGCCTTGCTTAAGGGGTCTTTGCCCATGCTTTGTTTTCTTCCTTTCTGCTAGACAAACTTTGGGGCTGTTGCTTCAGCCTGACTATGCCATATTTTACATGGGGGGCAGTTACCATGGCCTGCCTTGCTTATCCAACGTAATGATACTGGAGTTGCTGTTGGACCAAAACTTGCCCATATTGGCCCTTTTGTTGCAGAGTGAGTTATGTTTCTGAAGCACCAGTTCTGCTTTCTCCCCGCACTAAAGACTCGTCACCAAAGAAGTGATGATTTATGTTGTGTTTGGGTCACTGCTGCATTTACTCTGGCTGAATATTATTCTCCCCCAAATTCACCAGCCTGCTACACTCAGGCAGTCTACTTGACCCAGAGATTACAGTCTTGGAGAGAAAGATTAAGAGACAAGGCAGACACCACAAGAGTTTTACTTACTGCTGCACTGCTTGCTGCTTGTCGTGCTCTTCTCTGCTGCAGTAACTCCTTAACTGTAATCTTTACTCTAACACCTTGATACACCTTGGGCTTTCCTGAAAGTATGTGTGGGAAAAAACACTTAAGATTGAAGACTTTCAAAACCTAGAGCAAATCCAGCATTTTTTTTCAGTCATGCTTTACATGGAGTCTACTTAGAGCAAACATGATTAACTTGTCATTGATAAGTCACTTGTAATCACAGTTTATAGCCCTCTTCAATGCCTGCTTTTCAAGCCTGCAGCAAACAGACATTTCTGGAAAAGATGGTGTTGATTATATTCGGTAATCACATGTGTTTTATTTGTTCCTATTGCATTGTCTCCCCCCCCCCCCCTCCCTGGTGTACTAATACCAAGCTCCATCTGGTGCTTGGTATTTTAATTTATTGAATCTATATAAAATTCCTATCATATTTGTCTCCCTTAGGACCTGAAAATAAATCTGTGAAGCCCTTCATCTGGCAGATGAGGACCAGGAATAAAACAATGGAAAAATGTGGGCAATTACTCAGAGGTCTAAACAAAACCCAAATAAAATGACTGCTTTCATGAATCACTTCTTGCAAAGCCTAGATTATCTCTGTCTTTTGCTCATTCTGTACAACACCCATTGATTTCAAACAAGCATTTAGGATGTCTGTAATCCAGCCAAACCCAGTCAGCATCATCAGTCACTACCTGATGAGGGCTTTTCAGTACAGGAAATGGTAAAGAATTTACTTATTGTGAAAAATCACTTTCACTTGCTCTACTCGCGGTAAAACACCCAAAGCTACTCTCTGTATTAACCAAACAACATCGCAGGCAGCTGACATTCACACCCTGAAGGAGGCGGCAGAAATCAAACCCACAGGAGGAAACGAATGCCAGAGCAAAACCTGGCCTTCCAGTGCCACCTCTGGGACGTGGAACAACACACTCGCCGAGGCAGCCGCACCAAGCAGCAGAACAGAGGACACGTGAAGAGATCCTGGCTGCTCTTCAGTGCCCATCTCCTGCATTACAGACTCTAGGCAACTGTCTCATCCTCTCACCACAACATGCCACGGCTGGCAGGGATGGGGCCAAAACAGACACCAAACACCAGTGTTGTTTCATTGTTTCATCCTGCAGTCGGCTGCTCCCTAGTGAAGGCAGCAGGTTGCAGGTCCCCTATCCTATTGCTGCAGCAAGAAGATAGCGCTGGATTTGCAGGGTCCACCTGCATATGCTCTTCTGCTGTTAACCTTTCTCTACAGCTTCATCCTCCTGTCCGGCCAGCCCTCCTCCTCCTGCCCCCTTGGTACTCTGGGTGAGGACATGCTGTAACAGGCATACAGGTCCCTCCAGAAAGGTGACAGGCTGAGCCAGGTCTGCCTCGAGGGGAGTATGCTGAGCTGTGCTCCCAGCAGCTGGAGATTATTCATCTTTTTCTGGTTTGTTTCTATTCAACAAACTGAAGATGGGGAAAATGAGGGGAGGAAAGGGTTGAATTTAAGAAACCAGGCCTCCCTATAGCCAGGGAGCTACAGCTGTAAGAGGAGTACATGCTACATCCAGCCTCAGCTCTGATCTGCACAGGTAGCACACTATGAGGAACTTAAACCAGCAGATGAGGTAAAGACACATCTGTAACCTAGGGGCTGGGTATCAGAGAGCTCCCACCCCTGGTTCCCATGGCAGAGCTTTGTGCCCCGAGGATCCTGCTTTTCCAGCACTTTGAGGCCCCAGCGCAGTCTTGTGCAGCTGAAGCATCAAGAGCAGGGCTGCCACAGCCAGGCTGTGGATGGAAGGGGCAGGGTGATTTAGCTGGGGCTGGGGTTCTAGGAGCAGGGTGGTGAGGGTGTGCAGGGGGTCAGCGTGGGGATCAGGAACAGGGCGATAAATTCATGCTGTGTGTCCGGGTGGGCTCGGGGCAGCGGGCGGTCGGGGCAGGCTTTTAGGGTCAAGAGCTGAACGGGGAAGGCGCAGAGAAGTAGAAGACGAGGGTGCGGGGACCGCGTCTCCCTCCCCCGCCGCAGGGCTCGGGACGGCAGCGCCTCCCCGCCGGGAAGCCACGGGGATGGCTGCCGGAGGGCGAGCGGCGCCCCGGCTCCCCCCAGTCCTGCCCGCTGCGCTCCGGCCCCGCCGGCTGCCCCGCGGCGGCGGCCCCTTGGCCGGCCGGGGCTGGCACTTGGCGGGCAGCAACAGCGCTTCCCAGCCGCCTCCTTCCCTCCTCCTCCCCGCCCTCCCCTGCCGGGTGCTCCTCGGCCGGGAGGCGATTGCCTCACTCGCGAAGTGACCCCGGCGAGCCCCGAAACAGCCCCAGAATGGGGTGGCGGGGGGATACAGGGGAGGAGGCGCAGCCGGGCTTACCGGACATCCTGAGCAGGAGTGGGCAGCACCTCCCCGGGCGCCTGGTGCAGCAGCAGTGGTGGCCCTGGCCCCGGCCCCAGAGCAGGTGAAGGGGGCAAGAGGAGACAGGCTTGAAATTTGGGGGCGAAGGGACCTGCTTGCCTGGCAGCAATGACAGGTGGATCCCGACAATATTATTGTTTTATCCCTACGGGTATAAGTTTGAGTTTTTCTCTCCTAATGCCAAGTATTTAAAACCTCTAGAAACCAATGATTTGACAATCAATGATTGCGCGATACTTTCAATTTGAATATTCAAAGGCTCCACAAAATGGGCTATCTTTTTGTGAAACTGAGCACATCCCCATCTAGCAGAGGGTCTGGGGGAATAAGATTTGGTAGGGCCGCCCTCCCCACCCTTTGCTTTTGGGACATTTGCAGGGTTTTATCCATCTTGCCCCAAACAAAGCAGATGCCTCACAACTGACTCAGTATTTTCCCCTCAGATGCACAGGCTGGGCTCCAGCCCTCTCATATTTCATTTGCTACCTGCAGAGAGGACTCTACAAGGGGCTGAGCTGCTTTCTACATGGTTTTTTTCACATTTTAAGGCTAAATACTAAGGTTTTGGGGCCCAAATGGCAGTGTGCATGTGTGGTGCTACACCCTGGACGCCCAGGTAGCTGAAGCTCCCAAACCCCACTTCCTTCCACAGCACACCCTTCCCTCTGCCCAGATACCAGGCTTATATTGGCGTTTATTTGCATTTTCCCCTAATTCAGACTATTTGCTCTCTTTGCACAAATTGCTCCCCCCCCCCCCTTCTTGCATGCTGCAGTGCTGGCCTGCCCTGTGTGCTGTAAGTGGTGGGGTTTCGGTGTGTGGTAGGATGGCACAGTTTCTGGATAACCCTTCATCACCATGCAATACTGATGTAGCTGGGATCTTTAGGTTGCATTTAAACTTCTCCCTGGGCACTGCAGTCTCTGCCATGCCCTGGGAATAGCTGGCTGCAGCAGAAAGCAGGCCAGGCTGTTAATAATCTACCAGCAGTGCAGTTTGGCTATTGTTGCAGCTGAATGTTTTCCTTTAATTGAACAAATACACTTGGTTTCTGTGGGGAGTGGGCACAGCTGTGATGCCATTCCTTGTGCTGAAACGTGGGTGTGAAGCCCCTTGCTTGGGGTGGCTTTGTAGGGATGCTTCCCATGGACCACTCTGGGTTAGGAGCCCTCTCTTCCTACCTCTGATGCAGCAAAAAAGAGAGTAGGGGTCACAGGGGAGTACACAGGCCTGCCTAAGAGGTTTGGGACCTGAAGCCCCTGCTGTGGCTGCTGGTGATGGGAGGGTAGAGGCAGTGAGGCTATCATGGTGTGGGGGGAGCTGGCACTCCTGGGAGCCAGGGTAATGTTTACTTCTGTAACCAGAGACCGCAGAGCAGAGAGTGCAGGCTGCTCAGCTCCAGCCCTGCCTGAGCTGTGTGCCTTAAGGAAACAAGAAGCACCCGTGTTTGGGTGTTCCTGCATGTCCTGGGTTTCGGAGCATTTCCAGGCTCACAGAGCTGGTTAAGATTTGAATGCCAGAGTGGGTCAAATACTTCCAAGACAGCTCAAAAACTTCCTATCCTTGCTTCTCTCTCAGAGCCTGATGGAAATAGAGCCAGACTGAAGCTGGTGTCCCCGTCCATGCAAGGCCCTTGAAGAAGGTACGGCTGAGATTTGCCACTTTTGTCAAGCAGCAGCTACAGACAGCGATTCAGGTGGTGCTGTCTGTTGTGGTATGGAACAATGCTGTGGGCTCATGCAGGTCTCAGGTTTGGTAGCACAGGGGACTGGGTGCAGGGCAAGGAGACCTGCACACACCTGAGATGCTCTGGGGCTCCTTGCCTTGCCCTGTCCCGTTGTCAGGGGAGCAGCTCTGAGCAGATGCCAACCTGGGATGCTCCATGCTGGCTGCTCGCAGGAGCCTCTGGTGCCCAGGGTCCAAGCATGGGGAGGCAGCTGGGCTCACCTCGCCCCATGTTTAGCAGTGTGTGCGGAGGAGTCCTGGTTGATGGCTCTTTCCCTGGGCTGAGCTTTCCATGTCTCCACAGGACCCCACTAGCAAATAGAAGGGCACAGCCCATGGGGATAAGCAGAGGTGAGATCTGAGGCACAGAGAGCCGCTGGAGTTTGCTTTTTCAAGCAGGTCTGAACAAGGCTGGGGAATCAGGAAGCGTTGGGAGGGACCCCAGTCCAGCCAGGACCGGAGCTGGGTGCTCCTGGCCAGCTGTGGGCTCCTCTTGAGGCAGGAAGAGCCTGGGTCAGCTCCAGGGCTACTGCTGCGGGCTGCAAGCCCCTAGGGGTAGAGGCTGTGCTGGGCCCCTGAAGACATCAATGGGTCTGCCCAGTATGGTCATTGTGTGCACACTGGGGTGCAAGGACATTCCTGGGCTCCAGGAGGAGGGGTGCCGGGGATGGTGCTAGGTGGTATCCCTGTACAGCAAAGGGCTTTATTTGTGCAGAGGACTGGCCTGGCTGCTTGGCAGCTCTTTGCAGTGATGCTTACAGGGACCCAGTATCGTTGCCTATTTCTAGGTGCAGCGCTGTATCCCCAGTTCACATTGCCCCACAGAGAGGTGCCTGTAGACAGCATGGCATGAAGCGATGCTCTGGGCCCGATCCTGAGACTCCAGTGCTGTTTATAATCCCTGGATTGTGCTGAGAAGACTCCAAATGTCCCATCAGCCTCAGGATTTGAGAAGAGGCAAGGAGGGCCTTAAAGCATCTCACTGCTACACACTTTCAGGCAATGGAGAGCTCCTGTTCTTCCTCAGCAAGGATTTGTTGCTGCTTCTGTGGGTGCCAGGCTGGGGGGTGAGATGGGGCAGAGCAGGTAACCTCCACCGGCTCTGGATGCAGCAGGCGGGACCGGCTGCATGTGCGAGGGATGCGCCGGACTCCGAGTGTGTGTTTGTGGGTGCAGAGCTACCTCTAGTGGCCGTGCGCCTCGGCAGAGCCCTGGGACCTTAAATCAGCCTTGGTCCCAGTTCTAGGGCCGGGTGGGTATCTCTAGGCAAGGGGCTGTCAGCATTCTGCCTTATGCCCACTGACTCAAGGCTTGTATTTCTCTGAGGGAACAGCTCTGCGTTTTCTTCAAGGCAAAAAGGAAATTGGGGAGGGTGAGCTTTGTGCATTACAGGTCAGGCTTCCTCCTGCACAGAGCATCAGGCAGGATGGTGTTCCCACAGCCTGCCAGGGCCCCAGCTTTATTTGGTTGTAGCCTCCTGTGCTACAGGCTCTAATGTGTCATGAACTTGCTACTCTGGGCATAACTGTTGCTCAAGCTAATGTCATTGTTCGTAGCATGCTGGAGTTAGGAACTAGCATTTATGCTGCTAGGTAACAAGATACCATTACATAGACTCTGTGCTATTAAGGAGGCCCTGCCCCAGCCCCAGCCTTGCTCTTCCTAAATGTTTTCTGGTAATGCTGTGTAAGGGGTTTAAGGTTCAGAGCAGCCTGTTTTCCCAGCACCTGAAAAGAAGTACCAGAGATCCTTGTTTGTGCAGATGTTTTTCAGGCTGTGAATTTTACTTGTAGCACAGCGGGACTGTGAGCAATGACTTTCATAAGGCACTAGAAGGCACCACTATAAGCTAAATGTGGTACATCCAAGTGATTGTACTTCTAAACAGAGCATACAGCACTGTACAGCATTAGCATCCTCTGTTTAAAGGACCATCTTTAGGAAAAAGCACACAAGTAATTAATTTGCTTCAATAATGGTCCATTCTTCTTTTACTCCAGCTCTTAACTCTCATCAATAAGTTCTCCGGCCTTCATAAGTCCCCCAGATGGGACTTCCATCATCTTTTGCCCAGGCAGAGTTATCATGCAGAGGTGATGTCTCTGAGGACTGCTCTGTTGAGAGGTGGCTCATCCCGGAGGTAAGCTCATTTGCCACAGTCATGATTGGTGAGAAGGTGTAGGGTGAGGTGGCAGCATAGCTGGGGGAGTAGTGGACATCTTCAAGAGGGTGCAAAGGGTAGGGCTGGGCTCCGGGGATGGCTGCGGTCCAACCTGAGCTTCGGTATGGGGAAATGCTTCCTGATTCATGTGAGGAGAGGCAGCTGGCACTGGCAGGCAGTGGCTGCAGAGGGTCTGAGCATGCACCATCCAGCTGGCTGAGACTGTCGGGTGAGGTCTGCTCCCAGGGCTCTCTCTGCACGGAATCAGGGAGAGAAAGCAAGAAAGAACCCTTAAGAATAAAAGCTTGGCATACCTATCTTGGCTTCACCAAGCCAAGCCATCCTCAGCGCCTAGCTGGGAATGCTCACATCAGTTCTGTTGCTCTGGAGCAGTATTTGGTATTAAAGCTTTTGCAAGGAAACATCCATGTTGTCAATAGCAGGACTGACCATTCCTGACCCTGCAGGGCCCAGAGTGAATGGAGAAGTGGCATTAATGGGGATAGGCAACAGCCTGGAGCTGACTAAGGATGTTTCTAGAAACTTAAGGAGCTTAATGCAGGAGCTGTTTTGGGGAGCAGGGGAGGTTGTTAATTTAGGAGCTGGTCTCCAACAGAAAGAGGGGATAATGACATGAAGGTCATGGTCAAAGAGAACACACATTGCTCTTCAGCCCTGCCCCTTCTGTTGTGTTCTCTGCTGTAGCTGCCTCCTCTAACAGCCACATCCTTCCTGCATAAGTCCCCCTGACTTAACCCCAGCTTTAAATTGGGTAAACTTTCATTGGGTGACTGAGAACCACAGACTCACTCACTAGTAGGAAGTGCGTTGTGTCATTAGGTAAAGATGGCAGGAGAGGGGGCACAGAAGGGCTGAAGAAGGAGCTGGTACCAGCTGTGAGGGGAGTAGCACGGTAATCCCCATACTGGTCTGTGAGATACTGGTCCAGAAGTGCTGGGAATGCCTGAGTGGCAGACGAATCGCTAGAGAAGGGCTTGGAGCCTAGAGGGGATGAGTAGACATCACTGACAAACTGCTTTGTGTTGTGGAAATCCAACTCTGTGGTGAAGGATCTCCTGACGCCATAGTAACCAGCTGTGGTAGGTGAGCCTGCAATGGCAAAGAGAAAAAATTGGCTCAAGGGAAACCATAACAGCAGAACCAAGAGAGCCACAGAGCTACGGCCACCACTGCAGACACAAAGTAGAGCCCTTTTCACTCGAGCATCACCCAGGGCAGGAGTCGCTCCTGTCTTCAAGCAGGTGTGTCAGCCCAATGGGCTTTTAGCACCTCAGACTGACCTGATCCAGCTGATGTCCCCATCTGCAGCAAACCAAGTGTGTTTTGGGAAAGCCTCAAGTATGAGGCCAGAGTTTGCTTCTTCCTTGCTCTGCTACAGCTCTTGGGGAGGAGGATGGTGTTACAGTCTCATACTCCCTTTCCCTGCCTAAGAGTTTAAACAGGTAAGCTCCTGGTTTCATACTTTCTCTCTGCAGCTTCAGGGAAAACTAGAAGACACAGAGGGAAAAGAAGGGCTTCTGTGTGGCACCTCTACCAAAAGAGATGGGAACTGCTTTAATTACCTTTTTCACCTCTGGGAATGTCATACAAGATTACAGAGGCTTTTCTTTTATTATTGCTGCTCCTGTTTTGACTTTTTCAATTACTTTCCTCCTGGGCTCTCTCTGAGAGGTAGCCCTACTCCACTGCTCCTTTGCTCCCTTCATGTGCTTTGGAGGAGAAGAAACAGGAGCAACAACAACTGTCCAAGCGATACAGAAGTCATTTATCAGTGGAGGAAAACCTCACCTGGCATTTGGACAAATGATGACTGTGGTGTGCTGATGCTGCCCTGCAAAAGATAAAGATATGTTAAAAAAGGTCTTTTCAAAGCAAGGCAGCTCTCTAAGCGTGTAGTTTGGGAAGGTGCTGGCATCATTCCGATGCACTATTTGAGTCTTGGTGCTATCAGCATGAAGAGCTTAACTCTAAGATTTCAAGCCTCTAGCCTCTGAGGTATTAGCAGATGTAGGCTAAGAAGAGATTTTGAAGTCTTGTGTAGAGCTGGTAACAGTAGAAATATCAAGATAACTGGCTGCTTTCTCATGGGCTGCAGGGTCCCTTAATGCAGGCATAATGCTGAGCCTTCCGTTTTGGTGTTGGCTCAGAAGAGGTCTCAATAAGCTGTTCTCTAAGCCCTTGGCTGGTCAAAACAGGCAGATTCTGCGCTGCCTGTGTTCTAGCCCAGCTCTCTTGTGCTCCATCTACCTGCTGCAGAGCTGCATTAGCTGGCCCCTCCTGGCAGAACAGGCAGGCTATGTTTGGAGGCAGTTGCTTCTAGTTCCTATTTGGGTGTTACAGAAGTATCGATAAAAATAATCTCTTGGTCCCTAAGGAAGAATTAGCCTTGAGTGACCCTGGTGCTCATGGTGGCTAATTCCTTACAAGTACTCAGGCAAAGCCATCTGCTCCTCTGGATGAGAGCTCACACACAGAGTTTGACTGAGTTCTGTCTCCTGACTTCCAAGCCCATAGAGCAGAAATACCATGCCCATGGCTGCATTACTTCAGCTGTGCTGTTGTAGTGGCCAGTGATGGTGGCATGCTATTTTCAGTTTGCATAGTGCAAACAGGAGGTTCCTGCCATAGCAAGCAACCAAATTTAGAGGTTTAGATTTGAATTAAATTTGCCAGCGCCAGGACTTCCTTTTACTGCTGAGGAAGGTTTGCAGCTGCTCCCTGCTCCATCATGAAAATGAGCTCTGAGCCCACACGAGTCACGCAGGCTGCAGGAGTGGTACGAGGCATCAGGAAGGAGCCCTTTGGCTTGTGGTCAGATGAATGTGTTCATGCTGCAGGTTCAGGACTTGCACCTGCCCCCAGCTGGGACATTTTTGGCCACAGACCTCAGTGAGGATCATAGCTGGATATGCAGGCTGCCCTGCAAAGCTAAAGCCTCCACATGCAAATCTGGTCTTGGCAGACACCCCTCTCTCAGCATCCATGTCACTTCAGTGCCAGTCTCTAGTATGAAGCGTTTAAAGTTACCAGTGTATCTAAGTTCAGCTTTGATCCTGTGTGTTCAACAGCTACTGAAACCATCTGACTGTGTGTGTCACAGGCAGCAAGTCCTCTTGCACATGCCTGTGGTGAATAGCTACAGAGCTAACATTAACTGCGAGGGTTTTACTTGCCTTAATTCAATTTCAAGAGCCTCTGCAGCAGCCCATCTTTGGCCTTCATCACAGCAGGCACCTACATACTTGCAGAGACCTACATTTCACTTGCCTCCTGGCTCCTTACCAAGTGATGAATGGCTCAGCTTAATTGAAGCACATTAGTTCATTTCCTCCCTGCATTACTTCCTTTCAGTGCTGTGGGACTGGGGTAGCTGGATCTTCTGCACCACATCAGTGTGTCTGTTTAGCATCACTTGTGCCCACAGTATATTCAGCTGCTGATAAGCTTGGTCTCAGCCTGCCTCACACAAGAGCAGGCAGATATACTGGTTAGGGGTACTCCAGAGAGCTGTGTTGCTTCACTGCCTTGGTAACCTGGGAGCATTGTTCAGCTACAAGGCTGCCTTGGGGGACTAAACGTAAGGTTGCAGGTCAAAATAATGACCTGGTCCTGCAGTGGGGCTCTATGGTGCCCTTTGACTGTACTTTGGCTTCAGTGTATCTCATCTCCAGACCCAACCTGTAGCACAGCAGCTGGAGTAAAAGACATTAACAGTAAAAACAAAGTTGAGCCTAGGCAGAGCACCTCACTGGTTTGCTGATGGCAAGTATGGAGAATGATCCATCCCTGGCCTCTGAGTCCTGCTGGGCATAGCGCTACATCTGTGTACCTAGCAGCTTCCTCACCTGAGGAAAGAAGGTAATCCTGCAGAGGGCAAATGCTGGTTTCATGCCTACAGTGGGAAACAAGTCAGATCTTCACTAAAGCCCAGGACCTTCTGCCCTGCATCTGATGCAAACTCAGAAGCCCAAACTGTGTGGATTTCATCGCAATACACACTGGTTTCTTGTGATTTGATGTATGCAGGGACTAGTTGTCATGAAATTGTTGCTGTTCTGCTGCTTCAGTAAACAGCCCAGTGGCTCACCTCCGATGAGCAATGCCCTTTCCTTAGCATCATGAATCTCCTCTATAGACCTCCCCTTGCACAACAGCGGCTTACCGATTTTGGAGCAAAGATCACGTTCAAACAATAGATGCAGCTAAATTACACAACATCATAAATACACAAAGGGGTGTTCAGTTATCTGCTGCTTGATTCGGGATTATATTATGTCACATGAACAGAGCTGCACTTACAGCTGTTCTTTTCATGATACATTCAAGCAAATACAGACATTTGCCCTGCACAATAATTTTTTGTGCCTTGTAAGGAATTAGTAACAGGGCTGATATTGCATTAGATTGATACACAACTGCTAAGCTTCGGAATACAAAGCAAAGTGTAATAAACCAAGCAGCAAGTGGTCTACAGTTCCTAGGGCTTTTTATTGCAGCTGTTGAAACTGCTTTCTTCATAAAGAGAGCAGGTAAACATGATAGTCATCAACCAGGATCTGTTGTCTCAGTGAGCACAAACACAACACTTGCTTCCTGCTGCTCTCCAAAGCAGTCTTCCCAAATGCCTCCTGGTGGGAGCATGTGTTTCCCAGTGACTGTCCATGGCTCAGGGCAGTCTTCTGCATTTCTGCAGTTAGCTGAAGGCTGTGAAGATATCTATGGCTAGATCTTGCTGTGTTTGGTAATGCCCGAACTGGCTTTCTGCCTGTTTTGTCACAGAGTTAACATGTGAAAGTAACAGTGAAAAAAAAACAAACTTGGAAGTCCCTTTGAGGTCTCTGTTTTTTGCTGAAAGCAAAAAGCCTGAGGCAAGTGGATGGGGGGAAAGAGCATTAACACTGTGTGTTCTGCTGCCAGCCATTTGTGTCTTTGCTCCTGCCCTTTCCTTCCAGGACACAGTTTCAGCAGCTTGACTGCATCTCCTCCTCTGTCAGAAGGCCCCATTGCTCCCAATCAGCTTGGAAGGAGGTGCTGCTGTTTGGTAAAGGTGAGTCTCAAGAGTACACAGGGAATGGCTTACTGTGCTACCAGGTGCCATGTGCTGGCACCTGCAATATTGTGTCTTCTGTGCACAGCACTGCTTCTCTGGCTAGTGATTGAGAAAAAACAACGTAGTGCACTATAATTTAGGTTTCCTGTTGCTATAGAACCACTTTAAGAAGAAATCATCTCTAACAAACTGATGCTTGGCCTCTTTCCAGACCATAAAATCACTGCATCTCTTCTGGCACTCTAGTATGCCAGAGAGGAGCTGGAAGCAGCACAGCATTCTGGGAAGAACATCTATTTTTGTGGCACTGAGTTGAGTGTAGCTAGTGAAAAAGGAAGTTGACTTGGAAGGGTGTCATATGCAGGATGTGGAAGGAATGAGAAATTCAGCATTACTGATCTGCTTGGGAAAAACAGCCAAAGGACTTCAGTCCCTCAAAGGTTCACTAATGCAAAAAATCAGGGAGACATCTGTGATCTTTCAGGGCAAACACGAGCGCTGCAAATGGTTTTTGCTATTCTAGGTCAATGTTGGCAATGCCCTGAACTCAGCATAAATGCTCTTTAAACCAGAGGATTGCATGTCATGACTTTTCTGGTTCAGAAAAAGGGCTGTGTGGTGGTGGAATGCAAAGTGACTTACACTGAAGTGGGAGGCACTGCTCTGCCTGGATCGTTTCTCAGCAAGAAGGTCCTTGACTGTGTGCTTCACCCTCACTCCTTGGTACACCCGTTTGCCAAAATCTGTAGGGACTGAGGAAATGAAATGGGCATTAGAGGAGTTTATTGAAAGCATAGAGCAGCTGGAGGAGGTTGTTATGGAAGAAGCAAATTCATTTCCTCTGTATGACAAGTTAGGAAGGAAGCACATAAGACTGCTATTATTAATATAAAATTATCCCTTAGGAGCCAAACACCAAGGCCTACTCATTTGCCCTACCTTGTATTTCAGCACTGGGTGCCATGTGGTTTCCATGCACATCCCTCTGTGTCAGATATGACTGGCTGATGGGGTTTGGTTTTTCCAAAGAGAGCTCTGGGGGGTCCTATGTTTCCTCTTTGGGTCAGTAAAATTTGCTTTGACTGCACATCCCTACTGCTTTCACCAGAGGTGGTGTCGGTTTAGCCCTTCCCTGCCCTTCTGGAGCTGCTGGCTTTCAGCACATCGCTCTGTGAGCTTTGATGTCAGCGCAGCAAAGGTGGAAATACCCCAGAGAGTTGGAATGGCTCCTGTGAACAGTGATGTGAATCACAGTGCAGATCTCTGCAAAGAGAAAGGAACTGTCTGCTCAGTGTGATTTGTATCCACAGTGAATACAGACAGGTACTTTGGGACTCTATTGTTTTATCAAGGTTAACAAGGAAGGCACAAAGAGGGGTACAGTGTCTTGGCCATGTCACCCAAGAGGCTGATGGCAGGCCAGGATCCATTTTCTTCACCTGACTGGATTACAGCACAACCTGTCTATAGGGTCTGTGTGACTTTGGGTATGAGGCATTTGTCCTCTTCCTCTGCCAGGATAAAGCTTTGCAAGATCTGCCTTGTGTACAGGTGTTTTGGCACAAGTGAGGGCAGAGAGGTGCAAGGTACAATACTAGGAACAGCTCTTTTATCTTGGCTAGCAGGCTATGCCTGAACAGAGATCCCACACCTGTGGAGCCAGGGAGGGATGTCCATATGGGCTTTTATTGAGATCTTCCAGAGAAGAGCTTAATTTGAAGCTAATCCCTTGGAAAACACACAGCCATGTCCTCTGAAGGGAACACAAGCAGACGTTCCACAGCTGATGTGTTTGATCTTTAAAACTGTGTTTTATCGTTTTGCCTTTCTGCTTTTCAGGATGCGTCATTTGGCTCCATTTATCGCTTTCATTCATGTGGCATTGTGGCCCCAGGTGCCCATGGACATTGAGAGGTTAGAAAGGGAAGAGCAGAGACTTCAGCCAAGACTAGGCAGAAGGCAAATATGTTGCAAGAGACGGTACCCCAAAAGGCTTATGATCAAAATAGAGGTGAATGCTGAGTCTGAATATGAACCAGTGAGCATCTGTGGACAGACTAGGACATGGCTGGAATGGATATCAATCCTTGCAGCTGAGAGGAATCTCTATACTGAATCTGACTTTTTTTGACAGCCCATAGCAGAAATCTCCCTCCTGTAGTCCCTTTCCAGGGCTGTCTTGCTGAGAGCAGTAGGAAGCATGGTTACCTGGTGTGCACATGTAGCTGGAGCTCGAAAGCTGTGGAAGAGCAGGCATAACTGGCAGAAACAGCTATGCTTTCCATAGCAGAAACTTTGCACCTTTGCATAAGAATTCATTTAGAGATAAGAGTGTTGATATTTGATGGAAAAGTCTCAACTGTATAGCACAGTCCATTGAGTTCCATCGTGGTTTCACACCTGCGATAAATTGTGCAGCCTTTGCTAGCTACATCCAGTTGAAGATTCAGGCCTTGATTTAGCAGAGAACTTCTGGAGGAGCACTGAAGCCAAGGCTTATGTTGAATTTTCAGAATGGGAATATTTCTAAAATGGCATCACTAGAAAAGCTGTGAGCAGCTTTTCTTCATTTATTCTGCAGTCTGATACTGCCAAATCCCACAGCCTCTCTGTATGAACTGAACTTGCTTCTCTGTGACCTGCTCTAGAAAGTGTCTGATGCTCTGCACTTCTGCAGTCCTGTTTTCCTAATGTATTTACTATGGTCTAAAGACATTAGACAAACACTTCCACACATCCTTACTTTTACACATGGGTGCTCTTGAAGTTACTTCACTTATGCGCTCACAGTTATTCCTCTGCTCAAATTCAGAAGTAATAAAAGTAATGGCTGTGCCCTCTAGCCCTGTTTTTAATTTAGCAGTCCAGCCCCACAGAACTAAACCTGTTGCTTTCAGTGAGTTATTTATCAGGATCTGATGCTGAGCAATTGAAACTCCAGATAACTCTGCTGTTGCCAGCACTGGGGAAGAGAATGCTCATTTAGGCCTGAGTTTATATAAATTTCAGGCAAATTGAATCATATAATTTTGATCTAACCTCATTTTGGGAAAGGGCTGCATTGTGAAGGAATAGAAATTCAGCCTAGTGAAGGCAGAACATGCTAATAGATGCTATTAAATTATTGTGACATTAAAGATGCCACAAATCAATTTTAGAAAATCCTTTCTGATTTTAAAATGAGCCTAAGGACAACATGGTATGTTCTTTTGCTGATATTTAGATAGAGGCTTCTATTTACGCTTGTGAAAAGGTGCTGAAACTCACCTGTTTCCATTGTCACTGCTGACAAGTCCCAGCTCTTGGACTCTGCAGGAGTTTGTAGAAGGGCTGTCTGTCATGAACCTCCCAGCGCAGAGTGAAGTCTGTGCTCATACTCCACTGGTAAAGATCCAGTTGAGCCTGATGGAAATATGTTTTTGACAATGTAGTGATGTCTCCATGATACCTTGTTTGGGATTTGCTTAAATGCAAATCTCTTGATGTGTGTTTCACTCCAATTTGCATGGTCAGTGCGGATCATTCCCAAAGAGTCCCTTTCCTGTCTGAGCAGACACTTCATGGATGAAAACTGAAGTTTACCAACAGAAAAATCCTAGGTTAAAGTGAAAGGCTGGTATGTTTTGCAGCGATGGGCCATGGCCTTACAGGTGAGGAACCTGGCTGGAAAAGCAAGGCCTGGGACAAGAGCATCTTGTCATGTGTAAGTGTGAGATACTCATGTGCTGTTGAAGATGAACACAGCGGGGCTTATTCTGAGAGTAGTACGGTCTCTTCTGCATCACACAATTAAAACTGGGTCTTTGAACACTGTGAACCCAGGAAGCTTTGCATATCATTGAGAGCACCTGTGGGGAGAGGAGTAACACTCAGCCAAGGATACGTGCTCATGGGACCAGCTGGAGCATCCTTTAGCAACCCAACAGGCTCCTGGTGGCGGGGGGGGGAAGCAGGGTTTGGCTCTTAGTTATCAAGCAAGGGGTTCTCTTTCAGAAAGTCTGAGATTAGTCTCCACTGAGATGCCAGGAAGGGAAACAGCAGCCAGGAAATGACCTGTTTTTACAATGCTGCTAGACCCAGATTAAAGGGACTTTTGGCCAGGCCTGCTATAACCATTCCTTTGTTCCCAGCCTCCAAATGGTAGCAAAACTGTTTCTGCAAAACAAGAAGCAGAGTTAAGCCTTAAATTCTTATTTAAGCCTAGTAGCTTGTATCCTAGTTCTGAAACATCCACATTTGCTGTAAGAAAGCCATTTTCCCTGCAGCACGGGTAGCACAACCTGTCAATACGCTGAGGATAGGTTTTTGGTGAGGCAGATGATCTCTAGAGCATTTTGTGTACAAGCAGAGCAGGCACAGCATTGCTGTGCTCATTTTACATGAGCAGGACAAGACTGGCGCCAATCTGTTCTTCATTATTAAATATTTCTCCTTTTGTGGAGTCTGCTGCCAGCTTGCAGGACTATTAGGTAAGATCTGTTCCTCTTGTAACTCTGTGTACTTTGCCCAGTGCTGGCCTAGAGATTAATTTGGCCTGCCATATGAACTTGAAATGCAAAGAACAGCAGCTGGCAAAGGCTGCATCTACTCAGGCCATTGAGACAAGTGGAGAAAGCAGAGCTGAAATAACAACCTGAATAATTCCCAGTATTCTTAACTTGCAGAACCACTCGGGTATTCTGCCTGCTCAGACATGGAGCTCAGGACCAAGAGGACATCACACAATCAAGGTACTGTGTGCCGACTCTTTTACCGTGCATATATGCCCTTACATAAGACAAGTCCTATTGTGGTCCATCCATTCTTAGCCACCCCATCCTGGTACCCGCAGGTGTCTTGGGTTTGGCTGACAGGTAATAGAATGGGCAGGAAGCACCAGGCAGGTTGGGGATGTGTGGGCAGATGTGAAGTCCAACAGAAGAGGGCTGTCTGCACTTTATCAGCAGGAGGCTTAGTTTGCCACCTGCTTCCTGGCAGGCTTCCCAGATAGTTTTGTCTTCTGCGCTGGATATTTATATACTTTCTTTAGGATACACAGGTTAAATCCCAGTCCCATTCAAGCTCATGGCTTTGCACTGTCTAACCTGGCCAGGTGTTTTCTGCACCGGTTACAAAATAATTACATTGAAAACAACAGATCCTGCAGAAAACAAATAAATGGAGATAAAATAATAATGCTACTAAACCCCCAACAAACAGATCCAGATTCTAACTGAGTCAATTTCGGCACGTACTTCCCATTCACATCAGAGGGGAGAGCTGGTGTGTATGACAGGAATTACAGAAGCCATTGTGTGTTAGAAAGGCACGCTTTGTGGCACATTTTATACTATTTTGGTTGGATTTAGCGTGGCATTTACCTGTGCCAAAGCAAACTTTGAGTTTTGTGTCTCCATTTGGTGTTACAAAAGCGTGGCACAGCAGTTGTAATGGTCAATGTATATTTGTTTAATTCAAACTGTCATTTCAGTTACTGAGTAAAGAGAATATGTTGCATTATCTCACAGCAGGAGCTGCAATCCTGAGGCATTCTGTGTTTGGTGCTTGGCTGGGATGCTCAATCATGAGGCTTTTGACCGCAGTTTTGCACGGTGAGAACTCTCTTGTTTAGACAAGGAAGCATTCTGAAACGACAAGAAATTAACCTATGTGGCAGCAGCGAACCCAAATGTTACCATAACCAAACGTGCTTTAATCCCAAAAGGACTTCGCTCGCAGGTCAGCCCCAAAGGGGGCCGGAACCTTTGCGAGCCAGCTCCGGTTTCCAGGGGGCCCTCTCGGCCGCTGTACGCGCGCCTCCAGCTCCTGCGCGGTGATTGGTCTGCGGCTCGGAGGGGCAGCCGCTATTGGAGGAGCGGTGCAGTCCGTTGGGTTCCGGCGCCCCCCGGCGGGGCAGAGCCGGACGGAGAGTGCGGTCGCTCCAGCGCTCCGCTCTGCCCGGGGCTCCCCCGGCTTTGGCCGCCGCTTCGGTGCCGCTGGGCCCCGCGGTTCCGGGCGGTGCGGGGCCGCCGAGGCCTGCTGGCAACACCGGAGCAGCTCGTGGCCACGGCGGTGCGGTGAGCCCTCGGCGTCGCCGCGCTGCATCCCCGGCCATGGCGCCCGCCAAGGCCGGCGGCAAGGGTGCCTTGGTGCTGCAGTGCGAATGGGAGCTCTGCTCGTACGTGGCCTCGCAGATGGAGGAGTTCTGCGAGCATGTGGCCCAGCACCTGCAGCAGCACCTTACCAAGGAGCGCCGGGACGAGATGGACCCTCTCGGTAAGGCGCTGGCAGCCTCGACCGCTGCTCTCCCACTTGTATGATCTATTGCATTGTGTGAGGATCCCCCTGTCCCCGAGGAGAGCAGCGCTGCTGCTGCTGGACTGCATGAAAAAAGCTGTGGTGTTCTCTGTGTGCTGCAACCTGAGCTTTACTTGGAAAGTTTCCACCAGGCTGTTAGAGCATGAATATTTCCTGTTTTCTCAGGGTGCAAATGTCATATCTCATTAATATCTGCCTGTTGCAGAGGAATACACGTGTTTGTGGCAGGAATGCGGTTTCTGTTCCCTGGAGAGCTCAGCTGACCTCACTCGCCACGTCTATTTCCACTGCTACCACACCAAGCTGAAGCAGTGGGGGCTGCGGGCCCTGCAGAGCCAGTCAGATGTGAGCCATTGCCAGCTGGATTTCCAGAGCCGCAATATCATCCCTGAGATCCAGGAAAACTTCCTGTGCCTCTGGGAGTACTGCGAGGTGAGAACAGAGAACCCAGTTTCGCTTTCGTATATTTCATCTTTGGTGCAGCCAAGGGAAGGAGAGCTGCTTTTGTCCTGCAGCTCGCCTGCGTGCCTGCCTGTATTTGTACCTGTGTGAAAGAACCTGTTGTGCTCAGGCTGATCTCTTTACCCTCTTTTGTTTGTCCCTGCTCCCCAACAGAGATCATTTGATAATCCCGAGTGGTTCTATCGGCACGTGGAGGATCACAGCTTCTGTTCAGAGTACAAGGCAAGAGGGAAGGAGAACCATGTGGTCCTCTGTGGCTGGAAAGGTTAGTGAGTGCATGCAAGGCCTCTCTAGAGAGCTTTGCACAGGGCTGAGTTGCAGATGTTGTCCAGGAACATTAGGGATCACATTAATGATCTCGCTTAGTGATCTCATCCTGCTGTGACTCTTCTCTGGGGGCTTTTTGGAGTTGATTTTTGCTAACCAAAACAGAAGCAAGAAGCCTGCCATTCAGTCAGGTTGCAGATTGTGGCCCATGTGTGAAGGATCTTAATCCATTAATGGCATTCTGTTGCTTCTGTTCAGACTGTGACTGCACCTTCAAGGGGCGCTGCAAACTGCGGGAGCACTTGCGCAGCCACACGCAGGAGAAGGTGGTGGCCTGTCCTACCTGTGGGGGGATGTTTGCCAACAACACCAAGTTCTTTGACCACATCCGCCGTCAGACTGCACTGGACCGTAAGCTCCTGTGGGTGGGTTGTAAGCAGTCCTCTGGCTGGGTTATTTGGCTTCCTAGAGGTGCCTGTTCTCTGTAAGCAAAGGGCATGAGTGTGCTTGAAAGCAGCCTGGCTTTTCTGATGGCTGGGACCTCAGACACTGCTGCAGGCAAAGCTGTTCATCCTGTAAGGACCCAGGCAAAGTCAAAGGCAGCAGATGGGCTCTTGCAGCAGCACTGGGATTTGTTTGTTGAGTTCCCTCAAGCTGTGCTGATGTGTGTGTGTGATGGGTTGCTCCCTAGTTCTTGCACTGGCAGCACAAGGAAGCTGTGCAAAGGGGAAGCAGATTGGTCTTTGCAAGTGATTTTGTTTGTAGTCAGTGTTTGCTGTCTCTGCCTGGAGAGGGTTCCCAGTTGCCTCTTTTTCTCACTTGCAGTTCTTTGTGCTGTTCTCTCTGCTCTGATCTCTTTTCTCACCACCCTGTCCTTTTTCTCTCTGCCCCTGATGCTGCAGAGCAGAGGTTTCAGTGTTCTCACTGCTCCAAGAGGTTTGCCACAGAGAGACTGCTCCGTGACCATATGAGGAACCATGGTGAGTAAAGACCCCTTCTCCCAGCTGAGGCCAGGAAGAGTGTGTGCTCTTCCCTGTTTTGCAGTAATGTTTTCCACCCACTCTTTCACACAGTGAACCATTACAAGTGCCCAATGTGTGACATGACCTGCCCACTGCCCTCCTCCCTGCGCAATCACATTCGTTTTCGGCACAGTGAGGAGCGGCCATTCAAGTGTGACTATTGTGACTACAGGTGAGGACCAGGGTTCTCCATCTTGCCGCCCAGAGGCACCTGTGTGTGTGTGCTTCACAGTGTTCAACTTTGTTCCCTTATCATTTCCTTTTAGCTGCAAGAATCTCATTGACTTGAGGAAACATCTGGAAACTCACAGCAAAGAGCCAGCCTATCACTGCGAGTTTGAGGCTTGTAGCTTCACTGCACGCTCCCCCTGCTCCATCAAACTGCACTGCCGGAAAGTCCATGAGGTACAAAGAAAGCAGAGGGCTATTCTGCTGTGTAGTGCCTCCCAGCGAGGGTGAGAACTGCTAGTGCAACATGCTGTACAGAAGCATGAATTAAAAAACTAGTCATGCGAAGTACCCCAGGCTGAGCAGGGCTGTAGGAATGTGAGGTCAGGTTGCACTTCTCTCTTATTATTGCAATAGTACATCCTATCAGCCTCCTTGGAGAACATGATTCATCCTTCCAGGCCCACTGATCAGGCTCATGGGGTATTCACATCCCTTTCTCTGCCCTTCAGGGTGACTTCGAGCCGCGGTACAAGTGCCATGTCTGTGACAAGTGCTTCACACGTGGAAACAACCTCACTGTCCACCTCAGGAAGAAACATCAGTTCAAATGGCCCTCGGGACATCCTCGCTTCAGGTACTGCCCAGCCTTAGCTTCTCATTACCTCCTTTCTAGTACAAGAAATAGCTGAAACCACATCCTGTGTCTTGCTGAAGTAGAGGCCTGGCAGTGCTTGGGCTCTGATATTTACCTGTAATGTGTTCAAGACCCATGTACTTTAGGGTTTTTATCATACTTGCACAATATTATATATGAAGTACTGGCCGTTGCAACCAGTGTGCAACTTCACAGTGCCCCTTCCCTTCCTTGGCTGCAGCTTCAGGCTGCTACCTGTCTTGTGGGAAAGGGCTGTAGTGTGACTGGCTCCATCACCCCTACCTATCTCTGCTCAGGTACAAGGAACATGAGGATGGCTACATGAGGCTGCAGCTGGTGCGTTACGAGAGTGTGGAGCTAACAGAGCAGCTACTGAAGGACAGAGAGAAGCGGGGTGAGGCACTGGATGGCTCAACTGAGTGTGTGGTGCTGTCTGAGGGTGAGGGCAACCTGCAGGGCATCATTCTGGAGGCCTCAGGAGAGGCTCAACCAGTTGAACACTGTGTTCCTGAGCTGCAGGTGACCCAGCTACCCTCAACCTCTCACTGTGCTGACAGCCCTGAGCCAGCACGGCCCAGTGTCTTCGCAGGAGCAGCACTGTCATCGGGGAAAGAACCAGGCGCCCCAGCCAACCCCATCATCCATGTGGTGAACAGGACCAACGAGCATGGGGAGGCTGAGACTGTGTATTATGTCATGGCCAGCACCTCCTCAGAGGAGCAAGTGGCAGCAGCCAATGGGGTGGCTATGGAGCTGGAGGAGAATGTCATGGACCGTCTGCAGAAGACAGCTGAGGAGCTGGGCATCCAGATCGTGTGAGGCGCTACCTGCCTCTCTGCATGAGGAAAACTTGGGCCTCCATGGGATGTGCTGGTGGGGCAGGTTGAGAAGTGCTTGAGGGATAGGGCTGAGCTTTTCTTCATCTGCCTGCAGCTGGTGAATTTCCTCCTCTGCTGGCCCAACCTCAGTGACTGCTGGTTCTGGTCAGCACAGGGAGAGGGGAAGGACAGGTCTCTCAGTTGTGGTCAAGTGACCTGAGCTGGAAAGAGCTGTCCGTCTCCTCCTTGTGGGGGATTAGGGACTAGCAAGAATCTCCCACCCTTCCAGGAGGTTTGGCTTTTGCCTGTCACAGTGCTTCCCCTCTTGGTCACTCTTTGGTGATGTGGTCCCTGCTGCTGTGCAGCTAAGTTGTTAGCGCTTGCTGAGCTTGGTCCTCAGCTAGGATCTCCCCAGGCAGGATGGTGTGCTGAGCAGACACCAGCTGGAGCCTCTTCCCTGGGGAGATGAGTGGCGCATAGCAGAGCTGTTCTTCACGATCCATACTTTGTTCTCCAGGGGTGGCATGTTCTCTGTTTGCCTTCATCGGTACTTCCCTGCACATCACCTCTCCTAGGTCGTTCAGCTGGTGCTGTCAGTGGTGTTTACACCACTGGTCCCGTTATGCTGTACTGATTCGTGGGAGGAGAAGGCTGGAGGTACTGTCCCTTGCAGGCTGATGCAGCACTGGGGAATTGGAAGCTTTTTTACTGCATTTGTCCTTCTCTGGGTTTCTTCCCCACATTGGGGTTTGGGGCTCCTGGTTGGGCAAAGTGTTCTCTGGCAAGACAAATAAAAGTCAAGACTGCTAAGCCAGTCAGTGTTTGGTGTCTGTTTCGGCCCCATCCCTGCCAGCCGTGGCACGTTGTGGTGAGAGGATGAGACAGTTGCCTAGAGTCTGCAGTGCAGGAGATCGGCACTGAAGAGCAGCCAGGATCTCTTCACATGTCCTCTGTTCTGCTGCTTGGTGCAGCTGCCTTGGCGAGTGTGTTGTTCCACGTCCCAGAGGTGGCACTGGAAGGCCAGGTTTCACTCTGGCACTCTTGTTGCCTACATGGGTTTGATTTTTGCTGTCTCCTTCAGGGTGTAAATGTCATCTGTCTGCAATGTCTGGGCTTGTGAGCAGAGCCAGCTTGCCCTTCGTCAAGTGAATTGGATGAGGATAGTATGACGCTGGTGTCCCTGGAGTGATACCCTCATCACCCTGTGTGTGGAGTTGATGTGCTGAGATGAAGGCAGGGAAGCACTCTGCTGATATGGGCTGAATGCTGACTTTCCCCTCTCTTCTCAAGCAGTTCAGCAAAAGCTGATGGAATTCCAGGTTAATGGAGGAGATCACTTTATACTAAACCCTTGGCCATCTGCTCACTTTCCAATTACAAACACTGGGTGTGATTTGTGGCTGTGCCCTTGGGATGGGGTGATGAGAGCAGCCCCATAGGCTTGTGTTCTGAGTGAGGGGCAGCATGCTCTGCAGTTGCTGGTAAGGAGCAGGGATGATAGTGGGCAGAGCTGCCTGCTGCAAGCTGTGTGGAAGGTTTCCTGGGGCTGAATCCATATGAACACAGCTAGGGCCGTCGGCTGGGCACCTTGTGCTGAGGGTGAGACAGGGTAGGAGGCAGCTGTCTGTCCCAGCAGCCCTGACAGCACACAGTGCAGGAGGATGTTGCTAACTCTGGTTAGAGCATCCCTGTGCTGCTGAAGTGATGTGGCTGGGTCTTGCCTAACTTTTCCGGCCTCTGCCCAGCTCCTGCTCCCCGGTACCTGGCAGAGCTGGATTAAGGATACCTTGAGAGAATGGCCTTCTGCCAGGTTTCATTTGCAGTACTTCCAGCTTGGCCCTCTTTCCAGCATGCGGGCCTCAGGGCTCTGTTGCCAAAGCTACAGCTGCAGCTGCATTATCTTGGACTACAGCACTCCTGCACAATGTGAGTGCTTGGTGGTGGGAGTGAAGACAAGGATGTGGTGACTGGGAGGAGTTGTCCCTTTAAACACTGGATCCAGGGAGGGTAATCTGCCAGAGATTATCTGGTGGGGAGAGGATTGGCATTAAAGGGAATGTCTCCTCCCCTTTCCCCTTGTCCTACAGCATGGAAACCAAGTTCACTTTCTCCTGGGGAAGTAGAGAGAGGCCTTTGATTTGAGGGATAAGGGGAGGAGGGCAGAGTGTGCGCTATGGGACTGGGCCTCCTCTTCCTCGCCGTGCTGGCCACGCTGGTCTCCTGTGAGGACCCAGAAGGTAACAGGGTGTTTGGGGAAGAGGGCTTTACAGGCTGCCCAGCACTGCTGGCACCTGGCTGGACTGGTCTTTTGGAGCAGCGAGCAAGACCTTTGTCATGCCCCTGTGGTGAGCACAGGGGAAGTGGGAGCTGGTCTGCACAAGAGCTGGGTGCTGCTAGAGGATGCCCTCCTCACCACAGCAGGGTGTGAGCTGGGATGAGCCTTTGCTGGGCTAGTACCACCTCCCTGCAGATCTCTGAGGACTGGGGAGCTGGCAGAAAGGGTGGTCCCTAGCCTCAACCCTGCTCTTCCTTGCTCCCTATGGCACCAGGACACCTGGACACTTACTGGTCTGGCACAGCACCCATCTGTTTGGGAGGCTGCAAGGGAAAGCACAAGGAGCTGAAGAGGAGCCAGTGTGGGAATGGCAGCTGCTGCTGGCTGGGATACAAGTCCTTCTGCAGAGGTACAGCCAGAGCACGGATAGCGGGGGGGATTGGGGATGGCTGCAGAGCTTGGCACAGCCAGCTTAGGGAGGGCAGGTTGTGTGCCATGCACGTGTGGAGTCTCTCCAGCAGTCCTGGGGCACCTGCAGATCCTGCACAACACCCACAGCCTTATGTGGGTGCATGCTCTTGGGCTGCACAGGGTGCTAGCCCTGCACTGCCCTCAGCAACCTCCCTGTCCCCAGTGAACTGTGGGCGACCCGAAGCAGATTTCCACTCGGTGGTGTACGGCAATGACTGGTGGGTCGGCTCCGTGGTGCGGTACAGCTGCAGACCTGGGTTCCTGCTGCTGGGGGACCCAGCCAGTGCCTGCCAGTCCGATGGCCGCTGGACCCCCAAGCCCACCTGCCTCCGTGAGTACTGCTGGGTGAGGGCTGCAGGCAGGTCTCCAGTCTCTTTTCTCCCAGCTGTAGGGCTGGTGGGCAGCCTGTCATGGGCTCTGGCTCTGCTCTTGCAGGGATCTGCCTGCGAGGTCGGATTGAGATCAGTGAGAGGGACATCACTGGGAGATGCTCTTCATCTTGCAGCACCCAGGCCCACCTGGGAGCCTTCCTCAAACGTGGCTGCATCAAGATCTCGGGCTGTGTCACCAAGCACTCGGGCTGGGCCCGCTGGTTCCTGCGCTGTGATGTCTGCGAGTGTGACTGCTATGTCCCGTGTGGTGAGTCCTGACAGCTGCTGCTCACCTTTGGTAAGGGCCTCCCTCATTGTTTTGTGGGAGAGGGTGACAGTGAGAGCTGGGGGGTGCCAAACAGCTCAAAATCTGCTGCCTTTGCTCTCCTTACAGCTTCCTCTGGATAGAGTTGGGCCACCCAGGGCTGGCCCCATGCCGAGGGAGGCTTCAACCCCGGATATCTGCTTACCTTCATCATTGCTGTTCTTCTTTCCTAAGCTCCATGCATTTCAAGGCTGTCATCTAAGAGGAGAGGAGATGTTTTGGACTCGCTCTCTTGTAGGGCTGCCTTCCTGCCTGGCCCCATCCCATGACTCTCCATTGGCAGGGGATGTTCTATGAGCAGCAGGCACTGAGGAGCTGCATGCGTTTCCTGCAGCTGGGCTTGGGAATGGTGCTGTCTTGACCCCCATTTGCCTGGCTGTTTCCTAGAGAAGGTTCATGTCCCCTTTAGGAGGGAGAGAACACGTGCCTGCTCACTATCTCCATGCCATGGGCAGAGCTCTCAGGCCACAGCAGCCTGACCAGTGCTGCACCACCCATTACTGAAGAATCAAGTGTTAGAGTGGGACAAACTGCCCCCCAGCCTCCCTGGGAGTGCTAGGACCAGAACAGCTAATTGTGTGAGCTCTCAGATACAAAGCCTTTCCCATGGCCATGTGGTCCACACACTGGCTTCAGGGCATGCTTCTTTGAAGTGTCTACACTCTTGCCCTGAGAGCCCCTTTCCCCAGGGACTTTTAGCAGTTTGGGGACACATGGAAGCTGATGTCCTGCAAGTAAAATGGGTAAGGAGGTATAAGAGGGGGTCCTGAGCACAGCAGGACCCTCTTTGGTCCCATAGCTGGAGGAAAAGACCTGGTGCATGGGTCCCCAATGTCTCCTTCCAAGCACCTGAGAATGGAGCTGGGCTGTGGGCCCTCATTGCCTACCATGGGGCCTGTTAGCCTGTGCCCTGCTGCTATTAATGTGGCCTTTGGCAGGAGCAGCCATCACGGGCACTGTGGTAACCCTGTGCTCTGCCACCTCTCTTCTCAGGAGTGGGTTTCTGAACAGGCTTCCTTCCCTAAACTCTTTGTTCTCCCCTTCAATGATCATTCCCGCCTCACTGGGGCTGTGCTCAGTGGCTTGCATTCATGCTGACACTGGTATCCGGCTCCAGCCTTGTGCTCCCTGGGAACTGCCCTGGCTCTCTCTGAAGCAGCAATGGAAAAGTCAGGTACTTTATTCCCCCAGGGAAGGAAAAGGTGGTCTGGAACACGTGTGATGGGATTGTCAGGGGAGCTGGAGGACCAGCACCACCACCATGGGTAATTAAAAGTATGTTTACAGGAAATTACACAGGTTTTCCCATCATGCAAAGAGATTCTCCTGCCTCCTCTGTCACTGAAGCCCTGGACAGAGCCCGGACAGGCTGCCACTGATACTGTTCTGAACATGTGAGCAACCATGGGAACACCACTGTGATTAAGGTCACTGTAGGAAGGTCCTACGGGCACTGGACTCCCATCCCTGCTGGCCTTCCCCTTTGAAACAACTTCACAAAAGGATGCTGCAGCAGCTGCTGGCTGCTGCGTGGCCACCAGCTTGGTCTCAGTAGCTCCCAAACCAGGCTTGAGCAGTTGAGAAGGAAGGGGCTTTGACATCGAGGGGTTCACCTCCAGCCCCTGCTTGTGCCCACCTGCAGGGACACAGGACTGTTATGGTACTGTGCAGAGAGGGACCTGCTAACGGTGAGTGCCCTGGGGGTGGAAGTCAGGGTGCTGAATACAGACCAAACTGGATAGGTCCAGCGTGCCTTTTGCTCTGTGAGGAGACTACTTAAGACCTCTGTATGGAGCTTGGCTCCATTACTACCTCCTTGTGCCCTCCCTAATCCCAGCCTGTGGGCTGTCCTGCCCCACTGGCTGAATCTTCTCTGCGAGGAGCCAAATCACTGCCCTAAACTCTGTCCCAGTCCAAGGCTGGCTGTGGGAGGGGGGAAGCTTTCCTTGGCTCAACAGATGGTTTTTAATTAATACTCTTGTTAGTGCAGCTCATTTCCATATGTCTCTCGTGTTTAAGTGCTGTGGTGGGGGAGAGGTGTGAGTAACAGCGAGCGTGGAGCCAGGCGTGGTGCTGCCGAGGGCGGGGATGGCAGGTCCTGCTTGAAGAGATGCAGAAGTGAGTGTGTGATGTGGGTAAAGCCCTGAGTAGGTGCATTCCTCTATCAAGGCCCTATTTGGCCAGCTATATCACTACCAGCCCTGGCTCTTGATGCCTGGTATGAGCTTCCCAGGCAGCACTCTGTGCTGCAGCCCCGGTTTCACCCAGCTTGTGCCCCTCTTGGGGTGGATCTACAGCGACTAAGCGGTGTCAGAAGTGTCCCGGGCAGGACTGGACTTAGGGGGTGTTTATTTCACGGAGTTTTGGGCTGAGGTGGCAATGGAGGGAGCTGCGGTGAGCTCTGTCCCGTATGTGAACAGGAGCAGGCAGTGAGGAGGGTTGCTGGGAGCATGCGGAGACAGGGCTAGTGAACCCCAGGCTTGTGCGCTAGGGATGCTCAGGGCCTGGTAGCTTGCAGGGAGAGGAAATTAGGACCGGTCCCTTTAAGAGGATTTTCTCTGCCTGGCAGTGCTGCCTGCCTGGGCAGCCCATCCTGCCACCCTGAGAGGCAGCGGCAGCCACAAAGCTGGAGGAGAGGGGCATCGCCGAGCAGCCGCGCTCGGGTGCGCTGATAGCGACTGCTGGGCGGTGGTCGGAGGGATCCTTTCCTTCCCTCCATCCCTTCCTGCCCGCCCGGCCGCCGCCCAGCCCAGCCCAGCCCTGCGGAGGGATGGGGAGGGGACCCCGGCTGGAGACCCGCGGGGACAGCGCCCAGCCCGGCTGCCGGCGCTGAGCACCGGCGGAGCCGCCGCCGAGCCGCTCCCAGCCCCCGCCGCGGGCATCGCCCCTTTGTCTGCGGAGAAGTGAGAGGCGGAGGGCGCTGCGGCGGAGGGAAGCACGGCCGGACCCCGCCGAGAGGAGCCCCGCGCCCGCAGCCTGCAGGTGAGCCTGCGGGGACACCCCTCCGCTGCCCGGGGAGCAAGGCAGAGCATCCTGTGCCGGGGATGGGCTAAGCCGCGGAGAGCGGCTTGCGGGATTTAGAGCTCCTTGTGCGCCCGGCCGAAGGAGTCAAGGTGAGCCCGAGGGCGCTTTGTGCCTGCGGTGTCGTTCTCCCGCTCCGAACCCCCCGCTGCCGCTGGCCCGCACCCTGGGGGCTGCGTGACACGGCGGTGCCAAGCGGGTGCTGAGCGCTGGGGTCCTCGCTCCTACCTCTTCTTCCCCGGGGCTGGGGCGGGCTTCCTTGCAGTCCTGAAAGGGATCTATCTGCAGCGGGGAAAGGGTTGGGAAGATCTCGGCGCGGCTCCTTCCTGGGAATTGTGTGTGTGCATTGCAGCTACAGCGGGGAGCTGCCTGCAGCCTGCTCTCAACACAATGTAGGTTAGCGAAGCGATAGGACCCCAGCCTTGGAGGCGACATGGGCGCCGGGCCCAGCCTCCTCAGGCTCCTTTTCCCAGGGCTGTGGGCATCCCCAGCCTCCCCCCAGTCTTTGGTGCTGCAGTGGGATCTGGGGTTAGAGGGTTCCACACTCTACTTGGCTTAACATCCCCCCCCAGCACCGCGGAATCTGCAAGCCAAGCGGAGATGCGAGGAGCTTGGCCGTGCTGCAGCCGGCTGTGGGGAGGACTGCAGGCAGATAACACTGCCCAGCAAGAGAACGTTTGGGCAGGTGTGCATATTAGCATCATGCAATGGCTCCAATTAAGTACTGGCCTGGTCTCTGAGGCTGTGTTGGTAAGGGCCAGGAAGGTGAAATGAGCCAAGGGAAGCAGAGAAGGACTCGCAGTAGTAGGGTCCCTTCCCTGTTCTATTAAGGCTGACCAAGGAAGCCCATGGGGATCCTGGACACCAGCTGAGTGTCTAATCAAGGCAGGTTTGCCCTGCCTCAGGAACCTGGGTGAGGCATGCTGTGCTTTGTCTGAGAAGCTGGCTGGAAAAGCCTGCTTGCTTGGGACTCCATGCCCATGTCCCCTGAGTCCTGGATGGGCCAGTCACGGGCAGCTCCTGGGGAGCCCTTAGGGCCATCGAGGCACCTCTGGGCATCTCCTGTTGAGGGCAGAACATCAGTTATCCCACCTCCTATCCTGTGCCCACCGTGGTGGAGAGGAATGGGGCAGCTAGCCAGCAGCAGTAGGGCTGAACAGCCTGCTAGCTCTGCTGCCAGAGCTGGACCAGCCACAGGAGGTGCATGAATTATTGACTGATCACCTCGCTGTAAGCCCCTAGGCACAAGTTCAGCTCTCTGGCCAAGTCCATCCTTCTATCTAGCTGTGGGAGCCACACTAGAGCTGGGCAATGTATCACAGGGCAGAGGGGGCCAGCAGGAAAGGATGTGGAAGGACTTGTAGGCTGGTTTAGGGACTCACAGTGAGTCAGTCCCTGTGCATCTCCAACAGCAGGATGGCAGAGAAGGGTATGGATCCCGCGTGTGTCTCCATTGCCCTGGAGGACACGGTGTGCCACGCCAGCCCTGCCGATGCCCCGCTCCTCACCACCCACTTGAAGAAGGTTGAGAACCACATCACAGAGGCCCAGAGGTTTTCTCACCTCCCGAAGCGCTCAGCTGTCAACATCGAATTCATTGACCTGTCCTACTCTGTGCGGGAAGGCTCCTGGTGGAGGAAGAGAGGTAGGAGCTGCCGGCTGGGGAAGGGCAGCGGAGGGGACCTGCAGGGTTATCGCACCCCTGGCTGGGTGTCCAGCACTGGGGTCTGTCTGAGTGCTAGACATGGCACTGTGGCTGGCTGTCCTTGCTGGGCACCCATGGGTGGAGGGCAGGCTCGTGTCCTGCAGCAGTTGCTGTGCACCTCTGCTGTGCAATGCCCAGGGAAAGCAGATTGCATCTGAAAGAAGTCTCTCGCCAGGGAATCCTCTGCTCAGGGCTGCATGGGGGAGATGGGGCTAATTTCCAGGCTCAGGGGCAGGCAGGATGGATGGGTTTCCCCAGTGCTCTTGTTTGGGGTATGATGGCTGTGTGTGATGTGCCAATAGCAGGAGACCCCAAAGGGTGCCACAGCTTAGAGCTTGGCAAGGAGAATCTGTGTGGTTTGCAGGGGATTTCCTCCCTGCGCAGCCGACACCGTGGTCCTCTTTCCTGTGTACAGCTCTGGCCGAGAGCTCAGGGAGGGGAGAGGGGAGGCAGATGGCGGCTGGTGGGTGGTAGTCTGCTTTAATTAGCTTTCTCAGTTAATGGGATGCCAATCAGGCAGCCCCATGAGATGGAGGGGGAGCTGATCTGCAGAAGCCGAAGGCAGGCAGGGATGAGCCGGGGTCTGGCATGAGCAGACCGAGGGCACAGGGCTGCTTAGCAAGGTGCTCTGCCACCCAGGAGCCCTGGATCGAGGCTTCATCCCGTCCTGTTTCCTAGGCTCTGCAGCGGGGGAAACTGAGGCACTGAAAGACAGTGGGGGCATTCTGAATATCCTCAGGATGAGATTTGCCCATTTGGGATGCTGAGGCAACATCCCAAGGGGAGCCATGGCATAACTTGAGTTCCCTAGGGCAGAGTGTGCTGTAGCACCCTGGAGTCCTCGGACCCGCTGCTTGCCAGTGAGCCAGTGCCCTGCAGGGACGGAGGGGGAAAGGCTCAGGCAGCTGGACCAGAGAGGAGCATCCCAATGGGTGCTGGGATCTGGGGATGGCAATGGGAGGGTCTCTCCCCCGAGGCCAGGTGGAGGAGCTGGCGGGGGGAGCTCCCGGTGCCTTTGTCCACAGCCCCCAGGATCCATCCAGGCTCCCGCTGTGCCGAAGCGGGAGGTTACTGGCAGTCAATGAACGCAAGTAACCGCTGCGCAAGCTGCAGTGGCGCCGACGTGAGCAGCATGCGCGGTGCCGGAGCTGTGTGCGTGGTGCCGGGATGCGATGGGGGGGCTGCCGGCCGTGCTTGCTCTGCTGTGGTCATGTACAGCCCCCTGCCCTCCTCTCATCACCCTTGCTGCCCCTCTGACTCCGAGGGGTGCAAAGGAGGAACCAGGAGTTTGTGGCGCTGGACCCCCTGTCCTGGGGATGGACAAGCCAGAAGGGCTACCCCCGCTAGTGTGGTGCTAGGACTATGACCTGTACCTGTATGGGCTTGGCCAAGCTGGTGGGCTGGGGATGGATGTGTTGCTCTCACCTGACACCAGCTGCCACCACGGGATGCAGGAGGGGTGTATTTTCAACAAGGAGATGCTCAGAGCTGGTCCATGGTTCAGCATGGTCCTAGCGCCCTTCAATACTATTGCTCTCCTGCCAGGGCTGTGTTTTAGGGACAGCTCCTGAGAGCCTGAGGCTGTGCCTGTTCTCTGCTCCCAACACATCATGTTCCTTCTGCCAGAAAATGCTAATCGGCTGCATTTAAAGCAGAGATAATTCCAGGTCTGATTAGCAGTGGCTGCTGCTGGGAGCCTCAGCATGAATGCCAATGAAGGCAACAGCCAGGCATCCAGCAGGCTTGGGGACTCTGCCTGCCCCATGCTACCCTGCTTCTCATTGCCCATCTTTGCTACCCCTATGGACAAGGATCTGAAAACATGCCCAGGATCAATGTCACACCCTGGTAATCTTCCTCGGCATCTACGTGCCCTGACCCAGGGAGTTCCCTCGCCTTTGCTGGGATCCAGGGCATGTGCCCCTTTGGTGCTGGAAATCAGTGGGGTTAGCCAAGGACCAGGGTCAGGGATCATGCTGAACATGACAGCTGCTGTGGCTGTAGCCCTGGGGATGGCGATGGACACAGTTTGGAAAGCCAGACCCATGCTGCTCTCTCCCTGCAGGGTACAAGACACTGCTCAAATGCCTGTCAGGGAAGTTCTGCCAGCGGGAGCTCATCGGGATCATGGGCCCCTCGGGTGCTGGGAAGTCCACGCTCATGAACATCCTGGCTGGGTACAGGTGAGGCTGGGGAAAGCCCATGGGTCTGGGAGTGCAGGGCCGGGGGCCCTGTGCTGCACTCCCCCGACTCCTCTTTCCTGCAGGGAGACGGGGATGAAGGGCCAGATCCTGGTGAATGGCCGGCCCCGGGACCTGCGCACCTTCCGCAAGATGTCCTGCTACATCATGCAGGATGACATGCTCCTGCCACACCTCACTGTTCTGGAGGCTATGATGGTGAGCGACGCTGCAGCCAGGCAGCCTGCTGGGCTCTGTGGGCATCCTGTGTCCTCAGGCACTGAGCCCACGCTGACATCAGGCATTTCCAAGGGCTCTGGGACATGTGGGCAAAATCCTGCTGTTGTTGCTCCCTTCATCCTGAGCCACTGCTCCCAGCCCTTGGGCCATGGTGCAGTCGGTTCCGTTCCCTACATGTGACAGTCGTGTTCCCCTGCCCATCCTCTCCCTGCAGGTCTCTGCTAACCTGAAGCTGAGTGAGAAGCAGGAGGTGAAGAAGGAGCTGGTAAGTGCAGAGGAAGGTATGTCCAGGACCCTTCATCTCTCCCCAGGATGGAGAGGAGGGACCCTGAGGGGACCAGGGGATGCTGAGTGGCTCCCAACAATGGAGTTTGAAGGGAGGTGTCAGGGATGGGGTGAGGGCCCATGGGAGCCCATGGTCAATGAGGCTGTCTCACAGGTGAATGAGATCCTGACGGCTCTGGGGCTGCTGGAGTGCTCCTACACCCGCACCAGCTCGCTGTCGGGGGGGCAGCGCAAGCGCCTGGCCATCGCCCTGGAGCTGGTGAACAACCCTCCCGTCATGTTCTTCGATGAGCCCACGAGGTGAGGGGCTGCCCAGCACTGCCTGCCCAAGCTGGGCTTCTCCTGCTGGGGGGCGCCGGGGGGTCACACTTGAGCACAGAAGGGCTGCAAGACCTGAGGGTGGGATGTGACTGTGCCCACCTGAGCCCCAAGAGGGCTCAGGGATGGCAGAGCTATGGCTGCAAAGGGATGCTCTATCAATCTGAAAAGATGCCCACAAGCAAGGGCATCTTTAGGATGTACTCCTCCTTCTCTCAAATCTCCTCTTCTCTCTCTCTGCTGTCTCTTTCTCCTCCACCCCATCCTGTGTGGCCACAGCGGTCTGGACAGTGCCTCCTGCTTCCAGGTGGTTTCCCTGATGCGGTCCCTGGCTCAGGGTGGGCGCACCATCATCTGCACCATCCACCAGCCCAGCGCCAAGCTCTTTGAGATGTTCGACAAGGTTTGGGGCTGGGCTTGGACACAGGATTCGTCAGGGATGCAGGGTCCCTCTGGCTCCAGACCCAGCAGAGAGGCCATGGGAGGGATGGGCTGCAGGCCTTTGACCTGGGACTTGTGTGGCACACAGCCTTGCTGGCCGAGGTCTGGCAAGGTTGCCCTGTGTCGCCTAGGGCAGGGAGGTGGGTAGGAACAGGTGACAGTGCCCCTGTTTGCTCTGCACTTCCCATATCCTGGCTTTTTCTTCCAGCTCTACATCCTGAGCCAGGGCCAGTGCATCTTTAAAGGCATCGTGACCAACCTCATCCCCTACCTGAAGGGTCTTGGCCTTCACTGCCCCACATACCACAACCCTGCTGACTTCAGTGAGTGCTCCTACAACAGCTGGGGCCGTGGTGGGGAGAAGAGGGTGGCAAGTTCCAAATCCAGTGCCGAAGCCCCATGGAGCAGGGCTGCCTGCACCCTTCCCTTTATGCACTGGCTTGGCAGTGCTGCTCTGTGATGCAGCATCCCTGGATGCCCCAACCCCTGCCCCATGGGGATAGCAATGGCAAGGCTGGCTCAGCACCTCTCATGGATCCTGTCTGCCTCCACAGTTATTGAGGTGGCCTCAGGAGAATATGGGGACCTCAACCCTGTCCTGTTCCGAGCTGTCCAGAATGGCATGTGCACCATGGCTGAGAAGAAGAGCAGCCCTGACAGATCAGATCCGTCATGCCCAGCGCACTGTGTGGCGGTGAGTGGGGATGAGAGGACCCTCCTCCGGTGACAGGGAGCAGCAGGTAACAGGGTGCCCACCCTGGGACACTCAGTCTCCTCTGCCCCCAATGCAGAGATGTTCAATCAGCTTCCATTTGGCTTGAGCAACAGCAATGTGCTTGCTGCTGTACCTGTTCTCTCACAGGGAGCACATGTGAGCTTGACCCATGTCTCTGACTTGCCTGTTGTCTTGCAGGACGTGGACCACATCGAGAGCCACACGTTTGCCACCAGCACTTCAACTCAGTTCTGCATCCTCTTCAAGAGAACCTTTATCTGCATCCTAAGGGACACGGTGAGGACAGGGGAGGCTGGGCCAGAGCTGAGGGGATGGGGCCTCTCAGTTGCTGTGGACAGGCAGAAACAGGAGTTGAATGGGGGCTGGAGTGGGGCTCACCCTCGAGGAACAGGCAGGCTGTCCCCTGATCTGCTGAGATGCTCATGGGATGCAGCACTGAGCCCCTGTTCCTTCTGTGCCTGCAGGTGCTGACCCACCTGCGGTTCATGTCCCACATCTGCATCGGGGTGCTCATTGGGCTGCTCTACCTGCACATCGGCAACGATGCGGGCAAAGTCTTCAACAACACCGGCTTCCTCTTCTTCTCCATGCTCTTCCTCATGTTCGCCGCACTGATGCCCACCATCCTCACCTGTAAGGAATTCCTTCCCCCGACACCTATTCCCTGCTCCCAGCCCAGTGTCAGAGGGGGTGCTCCAGCAGTGTGTCTGCAGGGTGGTGTGTGATGGAGCCAGATGAACTGGGGAAAAGGGGGGAAATAAGAGACAAGAGGGACTGCTATTTGGGTATATTGCAGTTGTGCTCTTTAATGCTTGGCTATAAGGTACTTGCTGGCTTGAAGCAGAATGCTGGAGTTTTTAATGCTTTGGGTTTTTCTTCTGAGAAAATGTCTGTAGAGCTGCATTTTCAGCTGCTTCACCCCTCTTCCACTTCCTCAAAAGGTTTGCCTAAAAAGCCCCCATCTAAGCTGACTTTTCTGTGCAGAAAGTTCCCATATTGGTCACTGACTTTGTTCCCTGGTGAAGATTTGCTTGCACACTAACGGTGCAGGCAGGAGGCTGCCTGGTGCTCTGTGCTGGGACAGCATCACATCTGCCTGCACCAGGGCAAGTGGGAGCAGGGGCTGGAGCAGTTCAGGCCAGGACATTGTTGACTGCTAACTCTTTCTATGCAGTTCCCCAGGAGATGACTGTATTCCTGAGAGAGCACTTGAACTACTGGTACAGCCTGAAAGCCTATTACCTGGCAAAGACCATGGCAGATGTGCCCTTCCAGGTGAGCTTTCAGCTGGGCTGAAAGTGTGGCCCTAGTGCTGATGTGCTTGCCTTGGCACAGCCAATTGCCTGGCTACACAGTTCCCTGGGCTGGCCTTTGAGGGGTCTCTGCATCCCTCCATCCCCTAGGAAGGGTCTGTGGATTGAAGATGTCCATGGGTCCAGCACAGTGCTCTCTTTGCTTGCCCCTCTCCAGATCATCTGCCCCATTGCATACTGCAGCATTGTGTACTGGATGACAGGCCAGCCACCTGAAGCCACACGCTTCCTCCTCTTCTCTGCCCTGGCCACCGCCACAGCCCTGGTGGCCCAGTCCCTTGGGCTTCTCATCGGAGCTGCTTCTACTTCTCTGCAGGTCAGATGGGGCCCTGGCTTTACCTATTACGTGGAGATGGGAGGGAAGTTGCACGGGTCCCATGACAAGGAGGGATGGAGAGAAGTGTTGCCCATAGGCGTGAGTGCCTGTGGACAGGGACAGGACACTTAATGGTCTCTGCTCCCCAGGTGGCTACCTTTGTGGGACCTGTCACTGCCATCCCTGTCCTGCTCTTCTCCGGCTTCTTTGTCAGCTTCAAGACCATCCCCACCTACCTGCAGTGGAGCTCCTATGTCTCCTATGTCAGGTGGGACTCCATGCTCTGGGCTCCCTTAGGCTGGGGAGAGAATGGGGCTGCCTGGGACATGCAGTGATGCTCGTGGTGTGCTCTGCCTTAGGTACGGCTTTGAGGGCGTCATTCTCACCATCTATGCCATGGAGCGTGAGGACCTGGAATGCCTCGAGGACTTCTGTCCTTTCCAAAAACCCATCAAGATCCTGCAGGAGCTGGATGTGGAAGAGGCCAAGCTCTACCTGGACTTCCTCATCCTGGGCATCTTCTTTGTCATCCTGCGGCTCCTGGCTTACCTGGTCCTCAGGTACAAAGTCAAATCAGAGAGATAAAGGGGCCATGGGGCCCCAGTGCCGTTCCCAGGCCTGGCCTGCTCTAAGAGACATTCTGCAGATGGACACAGCACTCCTGGCAGGTCACGGACCACAGCGGAGGCATTGGTAGGTGCCAGCCAGGCCTGGCTCAGTCGAGAAGGGTTTTGAGACATCTCGGAACTGTTTTAACCTTTCCATGCACTCTTCATTGCAAACGTTTTGTACAGCCCTGGCACATGCCACTCTGTCCCCCAGGACTGCCCAACCCCACAGAGCTTGGGTCCCCTCTTGTCACCTCTGCCCGGCACTGCCCTTCTCCACCCAACACACTGGGACTCTGGGAATGGTCCCATGGAGGCAGCTGTCTGCTGAGCAAGGTCAAGAGGAGAGTGATGTCCTGGGGCTGAAGGCAGGAGGAGACACCCACAGCATGGATCCACAGTGCAGCCCACAGCCCTGTTGCTTGCCCTAGGCAGCAGCACGTGTGTCAATGCTAAGAAGAGCCCAAAGATGCAATAGGCCAAATTGCACAAGGCTTGAGTGCTTCCTGTCACCATAGTCACAGAAATTACTGCATCCTCTTTTTTTTTTCTGCATAAATCCTCCCTGGTTTTTATTTGTTATGTTTGAGGTTTTTTTTTTCCTTTTTTTCTTCTTTTTTTTTTTTTTTTTCTTTTTTCTTTTTTTATAAACCAACTGCTTCCCATCCTACATGGAAGGGAAAGGGATCCAGCAGGCAAAGGAAGGACCTGGGGCTCTGCTCAGACTTCTGCTCGGATGCTATCCTCGGAGATAGGATCTTCAAACCTGGGGATATGGCAGGATCTGGGAAAACAACAGTATTCTCATACCTTTGGGTGTCTCATGTTCATTCCCTATTGTCTTCGGGGTCTCAGCCAAAAGGATAGAATCAAAGAACGTGGAGAGAAGTGACTGGTCCCTCCAAACGCTTGCATGAAGCAGGGAAGATTTAGGTTCCCATATCCTGCTAGTGCAAGGTGGCTGAAAAGCAGGGCTGGGCTCAGCCATGCCGTCACCGGAGCCTCTACTGATGAAGGACAAGAGCTGGCCCTGAACCCTTCCCTTGCACCATCTCATTCCTCACCCGTATTCCCACGGCACAATTGTGGCTGTCTCAGCAGACCAAGGAGGATGAGCAACGCCGGCTGTGCAAGGAGGGGATGCCATCCATCCCCAGGGACACCCAGCCTCATCACAGTGCAAAGCTCCCACGGTAACACTGTGCAGGAGAGGGTCCCAGAGTGCCAGAACTGGAAAGCAGGTGAGATCTCCCAGCAGTATTCTGCACTGGGCAGCCCTAACACTGAGAAGGGCTTTGCACTTTGTGACTGTATCAAGAAAAGGTACCTTTTGGCAAGTGGCTCCTCCAAAGTCACCTGCTTCTCCACACTCCTTGAGGATGGAAGGTATTTTGGCACCTCGCTGGCTCACCAAAGGAACAGAACTGAGACCAGAGCTGGTGGGGCATCAGCACATGCTGCTGTGCCAGGAACGCAGCACACTGCTTAGCTGCATAGCACCGGCCTGTCCCTGTGGGTGTTCTGGAACTAGTGTCGCTGGCACTGGTGTCACAAGGCTGCACTGGTCACTCATGCACATGGGATCGCACTGCAAGCATGGATGTCGGGAAAGCAGCTCTGCCCCATCCTGGCATGCTGGGCCCTGATTCCAGTGTAGTCTCTGAGGTGATGCTGCTGGCACTCTCGGAGCAGCAGGGAATTGCAGGGCAAAGGCCAGATTTCAGCAAAATCACTGAGTCTGTCCTTTGCTTTAACTGTCTCATGTTGGGACTGCTCCACACAGCAGGGTCTGGCTGGCCTGCAGGTGGATGGCAGACACACGGCAGATGATGCTGGGCACTCAGCAAGGCCGTGTTTCCCCTGCCTGGACAGTATTACTGTGAGGAGCTTGCATCGACGGGGCTCTCCTGCACAGAGGGTTCAGAAGCAGGATATGCCCTGATGCCCTTTTCATGCTGAGCATTGGGGTTTCCCTCGGGGGCTTTTGTCTGACTTTCTGCTGTCCCTCACAGAATTCCCCTCCACTCTTGGATCTTCCTTCACCGCCAGCTCTGTGCCACGCCCTGCAATGGAGTTGTGCCAGCTTGGGAGCTGCACTCTCCTTGGCATGATGCTGCCAGCTGCAGCCACAGGGTCGAGTGGGGAATGGTCCCCGTGTGTGCTCTGTCACGAGGTGGATGGATGGGCAGGGAGCCAGGGGGTGCTGTGGGCTGTCACCCTTCTCCATCTCACTGTCCTTGGGGCTGATGGGACTGATGCCTCACTTCTGTCCTGCTCTCGGGCTGTGGCTGGTTCAGCCTTGCCCTGTGTAGAGTGTGCACTGCTGGGCTGAGGGTTTCCCTGGTGGATACCAAGGTGGTAGGAGGTGCCAGTGATGTCGTCTTGCACAGCTTCCTGCACACTGGAGGCATTGCCATTCCCAGCACTGAGTCCTGCTGGGACAGCCCTGTGCCAGCACAGCCAGCGCCACTACCACTCCCACAAGGACCACGATGAGATGGATTAGCAATGGCCCATGTGTGGAACAGAGGGGGATACCAGAAGGCACCTGTGATTGCCACTGCCCGTGTCCCTCAAGGCATGGGAATGCTGCAGCAGAAGCCTCTGCTGGCCAGCCTGCGCTGCTTGCAGAGAAGCCCTATGGGACAGGCTGCCCGAGCTTGGCATGGCCAGAGGAAGACTGCCAGAGCAGGTACCTCCGCAGGTGGCTGCTCAGACCAGCCTGTCCAGGATGGGGCAGTTGGCAGGACCACCAGGATCTCCAGGACAGTTCAGCACAGCCCAGGCCTCCTGTGCTGGTGAGTGCGCGGGTTGCTGACTGGGTATGGGGCCACTGCGGGGCAGAGGACCAGGGCAAGGCTGGAGATGGAGAATGGATGTGTCCCCAAGCTGAGCAAGGGTGCTCATCCCCAGGGCCATGGCAACAGGAAGCCCGAGGAGCCTTAGAGAAGGGCACCAGCACTCCCAGCGGGCCTGGCAAGTGAATGTGTTGGTACCAAGGGGCTGCAATGAGGGAGGGATCTGGGCACAGAGTAGCAGAGAGGGACTGGGTCTGGCAGATCCTGCCCCAGGCAAAGGCAGTCTTGGTGGTGCCCAAGGGCAGATGGTGCAGGAGGAGTGAACTGAGCAAAGGTGTCCTGAACAGGGCCATCCATTGCCCCTTCCCTCTCAGTGAGGGCAATCCCACAGATGATGGAAGGCACAGAGAAATGCAAAGGGCCCCCTTGGCAATAACACCGGTCATTTTGTGGTGTGGAGCCAGGAGTGCCCAGACTGGGTCTTGCGTTGTCCTGCCAAGGTGGGGAGCACCCACGTGCTGGGCCCGGCACACAGCAGCGAGGATGCACTTTATGGGAGCAGGGGAGCAGGGCTGTGGGTGCGTCCGGCTACGGGAATCCCACCAAGGAACGCGTCTGGATAATCACGAGGAATGTGATGGAGGAGAGCAGGCTTCTTCCTCAACACCTCCTCTTCCTCCCTGCCCCTTGCTTTCCCTTGCAATGCACTTTGAATAGATGAAGACAGGGTTCAGGTGCCCCCTGGGAGCACCGGTTGAACCTTAACCCATCCAAAACTGCTTCAGCTCCTTAGCCTGGCTCCTTCAGCCCATGGGCACGGTTCTATCAGGTACTGCCTCTCCCTCATGTGTGCGGTGAATGCAGGCAGGCAAGCAGGGCTATGGCCTTTCACCACCATGCATGTCCGGGCCACCTTTGTCACACGCACAAGAAGAGCAAATGCATCATCACCTGGCTGGTACTAGGGTTTGCTGGAGGGAAGATTGGGATAGAACAAGGAGGGGATGGGGCTTCTCCCAGGCATTCACCCCTCTCAAATGAGGCAATAAACCAGAGTTTCCTTTCCCCTGTGTGTGGACACACCATTTGTCTTGTCCCTGCTGTCACCAGCAGTCTGTGGCTGCCTGAGATCTCCAAGTGCATTCCTGCCACACTGGACCCTGAGGTTTTCTAGCCTTTGCTGCTTCCACGTGTGCACGGGAGGTTGTACTGTGGGGTGTAAGTGTGATACAGAACAGGCGTGAACCATGCAGAGGTGTTGAAATCCATGTTTCCACATGACCAGGAGTGAGCTGCTTTTTTCCTGGCACTGTTTGCCAAAACATGATACAAATAACACACCCAAGGTGGAGGGATCCTGCTCTCGCAGCTGTAGCTCTGCTGTGGCAGTCCCATGAGGCATCTGCTTGGGTTTTTCTGCCTTGCTGGGAGGAGGCTGCGAAGCAGGACCAGGGCCCTGCTGCCTAGAGCTGCAGCCTGGCAGGAACCAGGCAGGGTGGAGGTGAGCTCTTGGGCTCTATGGGAAGCATGGGGCTGCTGGCAGGGCCCTGCCAGCTCTCTGGGCTGTGCCATAGGTGCAGGTAAGTGCCCTGCAGGTCCCAGCTTGCTGCTGGTACTCTCTAGTGTCCAGGGTTCCCCAGGAGCTGTTGAGCAGGCGGAGATGTTGCGGCTTATTTCAGTGTTCCTGAGATGCCAGCTGTACGTGTTGGATTTCACACATCAATAAAACTTATATTTATAGTGTACTGCCTGGGTGCCTCCCCTCCCTGAGCGGCCAGAGGACATGCATGCGAGGGGAGATGTGTGTACCCACGGGTACACCAATGGGTGTCCATGCAGTGGGGTGTGGAAAGGGGTACTGGGGGATAGCACACAGTGATGGGGACAGGCACAGTGTGTGTGCAGGGGCATCTCTGTCCATGCGGTGTATGTGCAGACCTCTGGGGTTATCCAGGGCCCCAGTGCCCCTGGTTCAGCACTGCCTATGGTTGGGCAGGCCAGCACTTCCCAAGCCAGCACCCAGGGAACAAGCAGTGTGCGTGCAGCCCTGCAGATGGTCTCAGCATTGCTAGAGTGCATCTGCAAGCAGTGAGAGGGTAGGTGTGTATGTCTGTGTGTGTGTCCATGCACTTGCGTTACACAGCCAGGCAAAACCGGGCAGTGCCGTGCCAGCACAGCTTCCCCCAGGCTCTTTATCGTGTGAGGCTGCTGTTGTCCTGCTCCCTGCACCATGCTCTATGTGAGCACAGGCGAGTTTCGCTTTGGAGCAGAACGTGTCCTTGCAGGCTCCTGTTTCATAGCTGGGGATGGACAGCCACCAGATGTGTGCAGAGAAAGCCCCCCCTGCAGCACTGCTGCCAAGACACCAGGACTGCCCCCACACTGCATCCTGGTGTCTGGGGTACACGTGGTTTTCCTTGCTGTTGTGCCTGCTGGCTTCTCCGCCGTGTCCCCGGAGCAGGACCATGGTTTCTGTTCCCAACCTGCCTGGCAGAGCCGGCGGCTGCTGTGCGCAGGGCGGGATGGGACAGGCTGGGGATGCGGAAGTTGCAGCTGAACAACAGCCGCCTCCAGAGAAGAGCCTCTGCCCGGGACCGGGATGGAAGGACGTGGCTGAGCAGCACCGGGCTCAGCGCCTGGCAGCACCCGGAGCTGCGGGGTCAACCTCCCTGGCGAGGAGCCCCACTGGAGGTAACCCTGCCGCTTTCGGCACAACCACTGCTCTCGCATCCCACAGCGCCAGCCTCACCACTGCCCTGAGCTCCAGGTCCCCGCACCGC